TAAAAAGTACTAATAGATGCAATAATTTAAAGATAATTGGTAAGTATCTTGATGAAATTAACAGCATTGTTTTTTGTTACTATTATCATAATACCAATCTACTTTAATTTGGATGCTTTGGCTAATTGTTTAATGATTTCTACTGTGCTTTTTACAGATATTGAAATAGAAATGAGAGTCCTATAATATTAATTTCATAAATACCATAATGAAATGGCTATAATGATTAAAGTATTTGAATCAGTATCATCACAAGATCCACATTTATATTTTTAACTTATTGAATATGATCCATATCCTCTTGTATTATAAATATCACATTATTCACATAATGCTCCAATATGTCCTAAAGAACAAGAAGAATCTCCATAATTCCACCCTCCTAAACAATTGAGTTCAAAATTATAACAATATTCAACAAGATCTGCATAGAAATAAGGTCTCCAAAAATTCTATAATAATAATAAAATTAAATAATTTACAGGTCTTAATTTGATTTATGCTGACTTTACTTATTCCATTTAAATATTATCTCTAATTTTACATTTATTTGAATTTAGATTAACAGAATAATAATCTAAAGTGTAATCACAAGGATGACAAGAGTAATCTTCATCATTTTTTAATTCTCCAATTTAACAAGGTAATGTTTTAACATTTAATCTTAAATAATATTCTTCTGATTATTAAATTATTGTATCTATTTATTATTAATCTTCATTTATAATTGGTATTCTAATTGAATCACATTTAAATTCAAATTATAATACTATATTATCAGGTAAATCTGGATCAAAATATATAATTAAATGATCAAAATTATATTCTTCCAATGTTTTATCATAAACAACTTCATTTAAATTTGTGAAATTATTACTAAAATCCTTTTATTCACTTTCCTCCAATTTCTTAAAATCATATAATCTTCCTTTAATAGTACATTTGCTTGATGTTAAATTCTTTATTCTATTATTCCTTTAATCATATGGTATTAATCGTAAAGTATAATTCATCATTATATAATCATTATTCTACCAATCAAACCTTTAATATAAATATATAAGTTGTGCACTTGGTAATTAAATAATTTGAGTAATTGTTTTGATGTTAGTTTAAAATTACTACCTAATCTATTACCATTTGATTTTTGAAGAATACTTATTTGTTTGAATATTAATAATTGTTAATATTTATTAGTAGTTTATTAGGTAATTCAATCGTATCGTCTCCATAGTATGTTGCGCTATTATTCAAAATGTAAGAATTAAGGTAGGAATAATTTTGTGAGAATGATTGAGAATAATAAACTCCTCCAGCAACTTAGGCAGCATTATTAGCTATTATGCTATTCAATATCTTAAAAATGGCTTTGCTCCCTTAAAATACTATAGCTCCTCCTTTATTGGTTGCCCTGTTATTTAGAAATTAAGAAGAGCTAAGTTAAAGCGAATAGTCTTTGTTCCTTAGACAAACTCCAGAATTAGCTACATTTCCAATACAAAGATAATTATCAATTAAGATAGAGTAAGGAAAACTTAATTTCAAATTTTTTTATTAAAGTAGCCTACTTTTTAATTAATTCATATTTGCTATATCAACTAAAATCTCATCTTCTGTCCATATATTGATGCATCCTCTCAAACCACATGAATTGTTTTATAAATTTATTCTCCTCATCATTATTTAGTTTGACTATGTAACAGTCCCATAAATATTTATTAATCCATATTTACAAACACTACAGTTTATTTTTTAGAGTTAAATATCATCAATAATTATATATTGCTACTCATTTAGGTTTTATATATTGATCAAACCTAAAATTAAGTCATCCGAATAAATATTTAAATCAGATGTTAATGATCCAGATACTGATAACTCCTTTATTGAAATTTCAGTCTTTTAAACTAAAATATTTATACATGTATTTACCTAAATTAGGATAAATCAAAATTAATCCATATTAAGAATAATTTGTATTTTTAATATTAACATTTTAAAGAGTTAGTCCTTTTATAAAATAATCCAAAATAATTATTTCTTTATGAGCTTGTAAGATATACATATTGTTGATCGAGAGTTTTCCATATTCAGAGTAAAACATTGACCTATTTTAGAAAAGATTCTCGATTGCTTAATTTGGTATTGATTCTATTAGATTCTTTTGAAATTTAAAATAGCTAGAGAAACTATTATTAATAATGAGATTGGAAATAGATATCAGACCTGGGCTTTAAATTTATTATGAGAAAACCGCATAGACAACACTACCATATAAAGAATTAACATCTTCAATGGTTGTGTTTTTTATGGATATCATCGATTTACCTAAACTATTTTAAATTTGCAAGGCTCCACCACATACTGATGAGATATTTTTAAATATATTATTTTCAAGATTAATTAAATACTAATTGCTATTGCCTTCTATATATATTGATCCTCCTTATGAATTATCACTAGAGATAAAATTGTAATTATGTTAAAAAATTGTCCTTTTAACATCAAGATATCCAGAAGATGATGATAAAAAGTAAAATCCGCTAGCTAGAATAGCATTCGAATATTCAAATAATGTATCATAAATTTTAAGCTAAGAACAATAAAATATTCCATTCGAACTCTGTTAATTGATCATTTTATTGTTTACCTCTACAGAAAGAACTTTCAATTAGTTTTTAATTTCTGCGTTGTAAACACCATTTTTTGAAAATAGAGAGCCAATTATAGTTACTTCTTTTGAGTTAGCATAGATGATACTAACACTTGCATTTAGTACAATATTGGAAATAAATAAGTTGAAAGTAAAGTGATATGTACAGGTTTAACAATCTAAATAAAGTAGAGTGGCAGAATTCTGCTTTTAACCTTGATTTTTATGGTATAAAATATTGTTCTTAAAACTAACATTTTCAAATCTCACCACAATATTTTATTCAGAAATTAATTCTAATAGACTCACACTATTTCTTGTTGAATCATAAACTAAAATATTTGAAAAAAAAGAAGAATTTTTAATTAAGAAAAGTTCATTCTATTAAGATATTGAAGTTGTAATTGATTCATAACTGATTACAGGGTAGTTACTTAATAATACTGATTCAACAGTCAGATTATCAATTAATAATTATTCAGTTGCAAAAAACTATATAATCAACCCTAATTATAATATACTTAATTCCTATTTTTGAATTTAATCCTTTGTATCATCACTAGTTGTAATATATAAATTATTAATTTTAATAATTTATGAGTTAATAAAAGATATTAAAGGTAAACCATTACCTTGATGTATGATTACATCATTAAGTGTAATTTAATCACTTTACAAAATGATTAGGGATTAATCGATTTATTTTAAATTTTCTGTCATTAATTCATCTATTAAATTATTTTCTCGAAAACTGGCTCTTTACACTATTAGTGATGATTCTTGGGCAGCATATCGATATATTGTAATAAATTTTGATTTCTTATTGTATGAATTTGATATTAGTTGAAGATTTGAAAATATGGAAATAGATTTTTAGAGATCTGCTTGCAAATCATTTTTGAATAATAGAGCATTTAGTATTCTTGAATCCCTAAAAATAAAATTTGTGATTGTAAACGTTTGTATAAATTAGATAAAAATAGACTCCACTAGTTCTATGTTCCTGATTAATAGGTTACTTAATTCAGAATCAGTAAATTTTTAAAGTGAAAATATAAAAGAGTTAATACTTACTGATTCAGTAAATTCGAAATTTGAAATCTTTATTTCTCCGCATCCAGAAGTCAAAGCACAGAATATAAATTAAGAATCTAATAAATTAGAACTAATTAATAGATTCTGTAATTCTATTATGTGTTTTTTCTTAGTTTGAAATTTAAATAAATAAGAATTTCGAATATCTGTATTAATTAATTGAAAATCTAAAATTGATGTTGAGCCCTTTTAATCTGAAGAATAAATGTCTAAAAATGCATTTGGTCCATCTTATCTATAATTTTGCAATATAATGTTTTGTATGAGTAATTATTAAGCATTATTAATTTAAATTGAACATCCAAGAGTTCCAATTGATGATATAAACGTCAAATCTAAAAATTTGATATTTTGATAAGTTAATGATTAGGTTTGAATTTTCAGTTGTTAATTGAGAAAAGGAACAACCTCAAACTTAATATTTTATAATAAAATATTTTCAAAGTTAACAAATAGCAAATTGCCAGATAATTTAAATGTTAAAAGATTTTCGCCGATAATCTCAATATTTACAGTTCTAAAATAATATAATTTAATACTTTAAGGTAAAAATATGCTCTTTAAGGTTTTATGATATTATGAAATCTTCACCCAAGATACAATTTTGGGGTTGTTTACTGATGATTGAAAAAGTTATAGAAGAAATTTAAGCTTGATTTGCATATTAAAAGAGCAAATTATTGGATAGGGTAGAAAAATCATTTTTAAATAAATCATTTAAATACATATTCCCTTGCTAAAATTATAAATTATCTTGATTTTATTACTCCGCATTCTTATATTCCTCAAAATCACAATATAGGTTTATTGAAAATAACATATTATTTTCACAAAAGCCTTCAAGATTGCATTCCTGAAAGATGCCAAACTCTTTATTATAGACTACTTAATCATTAGAAGGTATTAAGCACTGCCTTGTATACAAAACGTAATCCTCATCCTAAAAAAATGGATTAAGTGCAGTAATTTCATCTTGAGATCTATTTCTACAAACTTTACAATTTTAGGGACATCTTAAGCATTGATTATTAAAAATAGTTAACATACGACCTTAACTTTCATATATACATTTAAGACAAACGAATTAATTATCTTATAGGATACATTAAGCACAATCCTCTGGACATTGTTTGATACATTGATTATTTTACATTTAATACTAATCGATACAAGCAGAGCAAACAACTTCATAATCAGAAGTTGATTAACTTTGAGCATTAGTTCGAAATACATGTGATCCATCTTTATTGATGATTGTCTCATAATAGTTCATTATATTGATTAACCAATAATCTTGATTGGTTTTCATTTATTAATAACATGTACTACAGAATAAGGTTTTTGGACATTAAAAACATAGTCCAGTTAATCTATCCGCATAATATCCATTCTAACAAGCAATACAGAAGTTCTTTTCGACAGATTTCAAATATATACAGGTTTAGCAATATAGAGTGATTAAAGAACATTTGTTTGATTGCTTACTTTCTGATCCAATGATACAAACCTAATTTTCGATTGTATCAAGATAAGCTGAAAACACACAATTATTAAAATTAAAATTGGTTATGTCTTAACACTAATTGGTTTCATCAACTCCAAAATAATCTTTGCATCTAGCACAACTAATTATAGGTGTAATTTAGGAATTAGTTTAAAATTTATAATCCAAAGTACTAATCATTAAATCATCTATTTAAATGTATTCGTAAGCATAAATGCAATTTTCAATAGTATTTTCTAAACAATATCTTCCTGTTATTGATATATAATATTTTTAAGTATCTATGCATTATAAACATCTATTTAAGTATTATTGTGTCTCAGTGTCGAAATCCTCTATACAAGTCTGACAATAGTTCCCACATTGTTAACAAGTTCCTCTGATTAATGTAAATTTTCTTAATAGTAAATAAATTTGTACTATGTGCAAGATTGACAGAGAACATCCTATAATTATTCATCGTATTAACATGAAAGGCAATTTAGAGGACATTGAAAACATTCTCCTTTCTGGGTATACCATTATGAATTGCAAAGATCGCATTAATTTTTGGATTGACATTGTAAGCAATTAGTTTGACATTAAATGCAATCTCCGTTCTCATAATAATAATTGGAAGTGCACTCTACAAATGTTTCTTATTTCAAATTAGGAATTTTGAGTTAAACACAATTCCTAAATCCTAATCGTATATCAGATTCACTGCAAATGTACTTATATTACTCGAAGTATTTCAAATTATCTTCAATATCAAGTAGAAAGACTTCATATTCATATTCACTTCTTTCGTATAAGATGTAGCCTTGATCCTAAGTTCTGTCTTGTTGCAGAAAATCAATAGTACATATAGTATTCAAATACCATTGATTTGGATATTCATAACAATCTAAACAATAAATATGAGTAATAATTTCAAATGGACTAAATTAATTTTAAATTGATTACCATTTTTTACATATAAATCCATCATCTTTAGGGATTTTAAAATACCCGAAATTACAAGCCTCTTCATCGATTGTAGTTATTTGATTTTCTTCTGAAAAAGGGAAAATGGTCTTGATTGATAGACAATTCTTATTCTTCTCAACTTGCATATAGTGTTTTAAACAGACACATGATCTGTTAATAGAATCAAAGAGCCGATTTTATTAACTATCACAACTTAGACAATCGTTTGCTGTTGGTCCATCACAGGTTGAACATGAGAAATGACAAACTAAAATGATTGATATTTATACTCATCTTGGTCTCTTATACTTCATTATAATTGTACTTAATAGTAAAGTCTGAAATTGAACCAACCAATTTCTTACTGATAAAATCATCTTATCCGATATATATGAAATAGTATCCATTTGAATATTGATTCCTTTGATTCTCACTTCCAAAGCAATGCTTTATTGGTTAGGTCCTAGACTTTAAATATAAATAGAAGCAAGAGTTTTCTTCCAAACTCTCTCCTCCTCCCTGCTCAAAAATAAAAAAGTGCCACTCTTAAACCAAATTATAGAGCTATTCATCCTCATATAACCATTTCTCAAAGTCATTAACTTCTCCCTGTATTGAATTAGATTTGTAACACTAAAATGGTATTTTATAATGAGAGGTTTCAACATAAATGTTTGAACTTTATACATCCTATTTATAAATGTTATATTTATAATAAAATGTCCTGTCTCCCTCATATTTAATATCGTTGTAATATGAATTAATAGTTATTCTCATTAGTAATTAAGAAAGTGGATTTGTAATAGTTACTTAATCAAGGTTCAACTTTACCCAACTATGAATAAAATATTTTGAACCAAGCAACAAGAGTTTATCCACTATCACAAGTCCTGAATTATATTATTATAATCCATCTACATATATTTTACTTATGGGTTAGCTAACCTCCTTAGGCTTGCAATTTAAAAAACCTTGGTATTACATGTCATTTGACATTTTTTACTTGTCATAATAGACTTAGTTAGTCAAATACCCAGGGAAGGTTTCGACCCATTTAAATGAATTCCCAATTACAATCTAAGTATAAATAATTAAAATACAAAACCTCCATCCCATCCTAATGTAGTTTAGGCATTTCCTGAATAAATAGTTTGAACATTCAGAATCGTAATATCAGAATTCTTCTAAATAACTATATTTTTTTCATTTGGTAAATATGATATCATAAAATAAATCCATTGACTATCCAGCATTTATGGATCCTATTAGATCGTTACTATAAATGGTTTATAAGCATCGATTTCACCATAATAAAAGTTGAATTCGCAAACGTCTTTCCAAATGTGTAAATCTAACAAAGATGTCTTTTAAAATCCAAAACCTATGACTTACGACCAAATAATATATGTATATCCGCTGCACCAATTTTAACCATCTTTAGCTTCATTAATTTTAAATTTTGGATCGAGATTGGCATACTTGATCCAGAATGAATAAGAATAAGCCTCTTAAGTTTAATAGTTGGTTGTATCAACATAATTACTTATCTAATCATAGGCACCTTTTAATATTTCAAATTTGTTGACACAATCCTAAGCATTGACTTCAAAGCTAAATATATTGCAAAAATCTCACATCAAAATCAGAAACAGTATTGAAAACAATTACATTTGTTTTGAAATGTAAATATTAATTGAAATATGTTGCATGATATAAAAGGTGATAATTAAAAAATTGCAAATTTTATATCTTAGAAATACTATAAATCTGTTAAATAAAATATATATTTATGAATTTTAATATAATTTTTGACTAGGTTATTTAAAATAATACAAATAAATATTCTCAACTTAAACTAGAGACATTTTAATATGTAATTTAAAAGCAATTTATATTCTAATATTTCTTATAATTTAAGGTTAAGCCGTTGTTATAATGAACATGATATATGAAATTTTACATATAATAAGGATTTTTTAATAGATATATTTTGCATTTAATCTATCAAGTTATTTATTTTTCAATTTAGAAATTTATAACAATATTCTTATGATTCATAAAATTTTAGATGAAATATAATTTATAAATACAATTTTCCTAAAACATTGTCCATTTACTCCTGATCTCCTTAATTGTGATTTTGAGATTTTTTATTTAAGATATCTGATTTATAAGAAGCTATTGGTATAAAGTACTCAGTAATTTGTAAAAGAAATAAAAATCGTTACAATTAAAGAATTTATCATGGTCACTAAGAAATTGAATAAATCAAGAATATAAAATGCCTATATTAAAATTAAATTTTAATATTATAATAATAGACACAATACTTAATTATTAATTAATGAATTTATATTCTTACGAAATATCAAATCATAAAAAGTCTAACTTTATTTGGAGCAGGACTCATTGATTTACATCTAATAGACTGTTAAGAAGTAGGAGTAAAACTTTTCTGTAACACTTAACCATTAATAAAAATTTGAAGAGCCTTATTTTTATGTTACATATATTTTGGATGAATTTATTTTATACTTTTATGAGAAAACATTTTATATTTCTCATTTCTCAATTCTTTGTTAATTAGTTTAGAGTCTAAAAAGTTTTTTTCTAAATTTTATCTTCTATTAATTACATTCTCTGATTTAGTTCTAGTTTGATGATTTTAATTGTGCTTATGTTTTTAGCAGATTTTACCCATAATTAGTTGTTCTGACACTTATAACAATTAACGCATAGTTGGAATGGTCTGATCTGAGTAAATGAATGAAATGAGTTATCGTTGTTATTCTGGGTTGGCTGTCCTAATGTTTTGATTGGTCTAAATTTATGATTCATCAAAAGCCTCTAAATTGGAATCATTCTTTGCAGTAATACAGATATTTGGATTCCATTAACATTCGTACTATTATTTCGATGGGCCAAAATATGAGTGTTAAGATATACTCATATTATCATTAATTTATGCTTTGTCATCTTTTTTTGGCTAATTTTACGTATTTTTCTATTGAATATAATTACTAACATCACTTTAAGTGATAATTTATTATTCTTCATTTTAGCATTTAAAACATTAAATACCCATTTGCTATGTTTTTAATTAATTGTAAATTTATATAATTGAATTGTGATTTATATTGATGTGAAATGTATTGTAATTGTGCTTATATTTTAATGAAAGTCTATATTTTCATTTTTAAAAAGAAGAAATTCAAATAAAAACAATTCATCAATTCATCAATTTAATAAATATATATTTAAGAGAAAAATGATATTTCCTTAATAATTCAATTTTTGTAATATAATAGTTTGATAATTAAAAAATAAATATCAATTATTAAATGAAATAATAATCAGAAATAGCAATAGGAATTGATTTGGGATTGAAATACTCCAGAGTTGGAGTGATGATAAATGATCAATTTGAACTCATAGCCAATGAATTTGGGAATAAGTTTACTCCTTCATATGTGGCCTTTGTAGATAATGAAATACTAATTGGGGAAGCAGCATTAAATTAACAAGCTAAAAATCCTACCAATACTATATATAATGTAATGAGATTGATGGGAAGAAGATTTAGTGATAAAATTGTCCAAGAAGAAATTTAAAATCTACTCTTCAAAGTTGAGTCTGATGAACATGACAGACCCAAAATAGTTGTTTAATAGAAGTAGGAATAATTGAGATTGCATCCAGAAGAAGTATGTTCAATGATTCTTAGTAAAATGAAAACCGCTGCAGAAATACATCTAGGTCATAAAGTTAATTAAGCCGTCATAACAACCTCTTGCAATTTGAATTTCTGTTCTAAACGTGCTATTGAGGATGCTGGATTGATCTCTGGTTTGAGGATCTTGAGGATCATAATTGATTCAACTGCAGCCTACTTTGCTTACGGAATGAATCTTTAGAATATAAATCTAAGAACAATTTTAATTTTCAATCTTGGAGGAGGATCCATAACAGTTAGTGCTGGTGATATTGAGTTTTCAATAATAGAAATAACATCAACATCAGGAAACAGGAACTTGGGAGGTGAAGAATTCGATAATCTCTTAGTAAATCATTGTTGTTAGATGTTTTAATAATAGTATGGTATTGATTTAAGATAAAATGCACGAGCTATGAGTAGATTGAAGATTCAATGTTAAAAATCTAAAGAAACCTTATCAAGTGTGAATCAAACTACTATTGAGGTAGAGTTCATTGCTTAGGATAAAAATCTTAGTATCCAAATCACCAGAGAAACATTTGAAATGATCTGTTAAGACTTATTTAAAAGATGCATATCTTATGTGGAGGAAGTTCTTAAGGAAGGCTGCTTAACTTAAAATTCCCTAAATTAGATTATTCTGGTTGGAGGATCATCTCGAATTCCGAAGATTTAGGAATTATTGAAAGAATATTTCAATGGAAAATAGTTGTACAACTCAATAGATAAGGATGAAGCAGCTGTTTTAGGGGCTGCATTCATGGGTGCACTTCTAAAGAAATAATCTTAAAAATGTGGGGAATGGTTGCTTATTGATGTAACTCCTTATAATTTAGGAATAGGAATAAATGGTTAATATGAGTATTATCTGATTAAAAAAAATGTACATATTCCAGTTATGGGGTAACAAAAGATCAAAATTTAATAGGCGTATAAAAAAAAATTAGAAGTCTTGCTATATGAGGGAGATATCTCATATAATAAAGAAAATTAGAGAAAATTAGGACATTTTAATATAGATACTGATAATATTGAGTAATAAGGAGAAATTACGATATCTTTTTTAATTGATGGAAATCATTAATTGGTTATATCAACAGAGGGTCAATAAAAACGTAATGTTGTAGTGTAATTTGAATCGGTCACTCTTCAAGATGAAGAAATCTAGAGATTAATTGAAGAATCTGAGAGGGAAAAGAATAATCAAGAAATAGTTCGATAAAAGAAAGAAGCAAAGAATAAATTTGAATCATTGATATACAACTACAAAAGATTAATTTTGGATGAGTTTGCTCGTTAGGAAGAATGGTTAGAATCTCATTAAGATGAAGATCCTCAAATTTACATTCACAAAATAGAAGATTTAGAATTGAAATTTCAACATCATGTAGAATTGATCAAATAAGTTGATTTCAAAAATCAAAAACATCCTTATATATGATAGTTTTATTAAATTACATTTTTATTTTATCTCTAAAATCCTCGTCAATAATAATTCAAATAATTGAGTTAAATATCTCTTTAATATACCATAGATATAATAGTTAATGATTATAAGAATTTATTTAATAATTCATTTTAAAATAAATGTTAAGCCCAACAGTCACAGAAAATGAACATCAACGAAAAATAGGTGAAAAACTCATAACCATTATTCGAACTATTTTAGTCACAGAAAGAGAAGTTTTAAATGTTGTTTATTTTAGGTTGAGGAATTGAAAATAACATTAGCAGAGAATATCCGATTTGATATCAGTGATGCATTTAGAGCTATTGATTCAAACATGAAAGGATATATTACTTCACAAGATATCTTTCGATTCATGTGTAAGAATGGATGCAGTGTACACTAAAAGTTTTGTGATTTCTGGATCTTCACATGGAGTAAAGGGGATGATAAATTAAGATACCAATTATTCCTTGAATTCATAGTCCCCAGATATGATAGAGATGCAGCTATGTAATGCATAGTCAGAAAATTGTATTCGGAAGCAGGGAAATGTATGAATGAATATTAATAACTTATAGACAAACTGTCATTTTACTTAGAGGAGTTTGTGGCTAAGTTGATTTATAAAGAGATCGATTATTTAAGAACTATTGAAATAGAGAAAATGAATTTAGCTCAGTTAGTAGAGTGGAAATTCACAACCGTGTTTAAGTACGTTGCGGGTAATTTGCCTGTTATTGATAAACGATGTTTGGATTAATTGTTAAATAAATTCGAAATTCAATCCTTAACTCAGTAGGAATACAACATGTTTCTAAAGAGATTCAATAGGAATGAAGACTAGATCTTATAAAAGGATGAGTTCAGCGATGCTATCTTCCCAAGCAAAGAATTAATCAAGGAATTGTAACCACCAAGAGATGGATTTCAAGAATATGTTCTCAATCATGATTAGCAATTGGATTAATTGTTGGGCAAAGACTAAATCAATGATGGAGACGATTTCATTTTCAAACCTGAATAACATAAACTCAAATTAAACTCTACATCTAAAGATTACAATCTCTCTGATAAATAAGAGTATTTTTCTAAATAGTAATATCAAAATGAAACTACTTAAAACTAAGAAACATATGCACCACCTAAAATTTAACCCACGTAAAACAAAGCCTTACTTATGAGCTTCAAACCTTCATAAATACAATAACCTTAATCATAATTCTAATAGAACTCTATAGACCAAAGCGTTAGAGCGTCAACCCCAATCCAAATGAGATCGAAGAATTACTAAAGTCCCAATGAATAACCATCTCAAAATCAATAATAAGATTTACTTTTATAATTTGAAAGAAAATAGAATGCTTCTTAAATGGCCTTCAGTCAAGATAACTTGTCAGGTTACAATAACTATTATTACAATCAAAACTCCAATTTGGAATAGTCTTAACAAGTTTAGTATAATTAATATGTTAACTAACCAACAAATGCTCAATATATTTTATCAAGATAATGATGGTCTATTTATTCCATATTTATTTTAAGTATCATTTATTTTCATAATAAATCATTTAAATTAATTTAGTAATAATTTTAGGGATTCCTTCTCCATTACATCATTCATCATTAATATTTATTTCTTATGTGTATCAAACAGTTTCCCTTGCTTCTTCACAATCAACTCTACGACATTCTCATCACTTTATCTCTCCTTTATCGCTAACTGTTGAATTATATCACATTAAATACTTCATTTATGACCATGAAATTATGACATTAAATTGGCTCCTCATTATTCTGTTCCTTCCAATCTGTATCATAAAATAGCAGAAACCCATCAACAGTTATTATGAAACTGGTTGGCACAAAGTCTTTGCCAAAACTTAATGATCTTTCCCATGCCACATCCCTTTTAACATCATACTTTTTTAGAATCAAAGGAGACAATGACATAAGAGATTCGGGGGAAGGTACTAAAATTTGAATATTACTTACTTGTGAAATTTGAAGCAAATGCTGAATATATATCTGTGGAAATGTTATTCTGTAGAGGTATTCCTGAGTATTTCTTGATTATTACAAGCTATTCAGATGTTAATAATTAATTTATGTCAAATGCTGTCTTTGCCTATTATAATATTAATGGATTTGAGAAATTAATTGCTTTTTAGTTTGGAAATTGAAAATACTTTCCCAATTCGGCAGCTAATTGTGTGAATGCTTTCTAAAGGAATTCTATTCGTGTGTATTCAAATTGGGATATTTCTTTAAGAATATATGTTGTAAATAATCCAAACTATTACTATTATCTTATGAGGGATTTAAAATAATCTAAATTTAATTAATTATTTACAATACATTCTGTATTCTTCATTGTAGATATCTTTTATCTGTTGTCCTCCCTCAAAGGCTGCTTCTACATTTTAAGAATAGATTTATTCATATTGGATGAAACTCTTGTAAAATTGTTCGACTGCCTCAAAAGTGATATTTCTTTAACCTTGAACCTACATCAAATAATCAGATATCTTTTATTGATTCATTTATTGGCATATTATTAATTTATCTCTTAATTCTCCTTTCAAATTGTTCTTTAATATTTGGATATTATTTGTATGCAATTAATATTCACTCTCGAGATTATTAAAGTTTTAGCATAGCTCTTGATGGTAGAATTGTACATCTTCCTTCTCCTCCTTCTGTTGTTAATTTTGAGTTTCTGCATTTTCATTTTAGTTACTTGATTTGGTTGATTTTTTCATTTTTTAACCATTTTTTATTTACTATTTTGTTTAATTGGTGAATAGTCTACTCAAGAATTTTTACTATGGTTAAACATAACTATAGGTTGTGTAGTAATCTAATTGTATTGATAAATTGTTGCAATAGTTAAGAATCATTTCAAATGAATTATTGGAAGATTTGTATCTCATTTTGATTTGTTAAAATACTGTTTCAACAATTGTTAAGTATTCAAAAATGAATTCAACCATTTTTGTCATATACTATACGAAAATTTGATGACTTTAAATTCTTCTCTCTTAATAAGCAGCTTTCCACATTTCATTTTTTAATGATTATTTTGATTGTGACAAGTAATTGGAATCAATATTATCTTTTAATTTTTATTAGATAAGACATAAATATTCAATTCTTGAATTAACTTATTTCCCTGTTATTTTTTTAATATATTATTTAATTTTATTTTGAAAGAAATGAGATTCTTATTTTAACTATTATTTATTAAGATCTGTATTTATATAGTTTGTTGTATTATAATTAATTGACTATTATTGTTATTATTATTATTATTATTATTATTATTATTATTATTATTATTATTATTATTATTATTATTATTATTATTATTATTGTTATTGTTATTATTATTATTATTATTATTATTATTATTATTATTGTTATTGTTATTATTATGTATTTTCTTTTCTTTAATTCAATATTTCCGATCCATCATCTGTTGGAGTTTCCATTATTTAATTCACTGCCATTCCTATTACTGCAGCTTTTACAGCAATAGATTAAAAATTTTAATTTTCTTTAATCGCCTCCATTCCTTTTTCATATTATTATTTTATTATCTGTTAACCCGATTCTATTTATGGCATAACTTGTTCCTTTATTATTGATATATAGATTTTACATTAATTTTCTGAATTTACTAATTTGCTAAGGTAGATGCTTTTTAAATTTAAGAATTAACGATATCAGTGCCCTTTTGTATAGTTTTATTGGTCTAATCTATAATAGGTACCAGGTTCTTTGAAGCCAAATCTAATCCCTTGGAAATTTGGGCAGCTTCTGAATGACCTTTAAAAAAAATAGGATTAGAGCTTTACCCATGGCTTTTAGTAAAGGAGCAGCAACCTTCATAGTTTGATTTGCTTCTGTAATTTAATTAGTTAATTGAGATGTCTGGTTTTGCATGGTGTTTTGAGCAGACTTAAGCTATGAATTGACCTGATCTGCTTTTGAATCTATGAACTTAGTTAGTTTTGTATTTAACATTATTAAATAATGTCTCAATTTATTGATCAAGAAATAAATGGATACAAGGTCTAAAAAGCCATAGGCGAGGGGAAATTCTCGACGGTGTACAAGGCGATGAATAAGGAGGGGAATGTTGTTGCATTGAAGAAGATTAAAGTGATTTGTGAATTTATGTTAGATTTTTGATATGATGGATCCAAAACAAAGGGAGAAATGCTTAAAAGAGGTGAAACTAATGCAGCCTTTGGATCATCCTAACATTATAAAATACTTGGACTCATTCATTTACAACAACGAATTGATTATAGCTACAGAGTGGGCAGAGAGGGGAGATTTGAAAAAACTAATTAAAAATGCTTAATCTGATGACACTCCATTTGAGGAAGTGCAATTATGGAATTACATAATGCAAATAGCAAGTGCATTGGACCATATGCATGAAAAGAGGATAATGCACAGAGATTTGAAACCAGCCAATATATTTATAGGAGGAGATGGCTCATTGAAAGTTGGAGATTTGGGTTTGGGTCGCATATTTTCATCGGAGACTATAGAGGCTTACTCTAAAGTTGGAACACCATTATATATGTCACCTGAGGTAAATTATCATTAAAAAGGAAGAGCTCCTTCATGGCGAAGGGTATGATATGAAATCAGATATCTGGTCATTGGGATGCATCGCATATGAGATGGCAGAGTTCAAGAGTCCCTTCAAATAAAGCGAGAAGATGTCTCTCATGGATTTATTTAATAATATCACCAAAGGGGAATTTAAACCAGTCTCGAATCGATATAGCCAATAATTAAGGGATGTCATAGAAGGCATGATTGTAGTCGATCCGTAAAAAAGACTTGATGCAAGCACCGTTTTATAGAAATCAAAAGAAATTCACAATACTTTTCTTGACACTAAGAAGACTCCATAGATAATTAATGTTTTGATGATGGAAGTAATTAAATCATGTAATTTATAAAGGACATCTATGAAAAGTTGTCATTGGTTCAATATCATGAATATTTCTGTATTCCTTTGAAGAAGAAACCAGTTTCAAAATATTATTTTTCTTTAGATGAAAATGTAAATCAAAATCAAAGGTTCTATTACTTCGTTGAGTTATGCTACTGGTTAATGAGTTTGCCTAAACAGAAAAAGAATAAAATGGCACAACCAATCAAACTTAATTATCATAATGTTGAAGAAACTGCCAGAAAATTGCTTATTGATATCAAAGCATGGGGTATAAAATTGCCAGAGTAATTGGGATCTCCTCATATTTCATAAGGATGTGGAGATATGGTTTGCTTCATTTTAAATGATTTACTCAATAGAGAATTAATTAGAATAAATTTTAAATTTGAATCCCCCAATTTTGGTAAAGATTTGGAAAGCTCTGTGATTTAGGTTAATAAAATAGATAATGAAGATCTTGTTGAGATTTAAGAGGAAGAGAATGAAAATGAAGAAGTTGAATAAGATGAGTTAACTCAGAGTATACTATTTTATCATAAGAAATATAATAATGAATCAACTGATTACAATCAAGTTCCTTAAGATAGATAAGTGATTGAAACCAAAGTTGCAATGAATGAATGGACTAAAGAGTTTAATAGGGTTGAGAAGGAGTTCTCTAAATTTGAGGCTAATCTTAAGGTTAATAAACAATATCTAAAAGATTATGAGAGAACAATAATCACAATTTCCAAATGTTCTAAAGTAATTCCATTTATAATTTAAGTAATTATCTATACTCTCTGAACACTTGAAGTCGAGCGAAGTTTAGGAAATATAATAATAATGGATTAATTATCTAGAGTTGTTACCCAAATTAGAAACTAATGTTACTCAGTAAATTCCTGAAAACGTTTAAATTACTTTAAAAGAGAACAGGAATACGATATCTAATTTACAATTTCAAATTTCTCAATTGAATAAAGGAAACAGTGAGAAATAGGAGATTGATCAACAATTAAATTAATAGTTATTGGATGTAAAAGAAAGAACACCGGTTTTGGCTGATAATAGATCTAAACAAAAATAATTAATCAATTAATTGAGAGTACTGATATTATTATTATGAAAGAATGACATAAGAGATATGGACATTAAAATAGGAATCATGTAAACTCAAATATCAAAATAGTATTTTCATACTTATGATGTGCTATCTGATGATGAATTCTGAAATATCTAATAATTTTAATTTAATAATATGTTACAATATTAAAACTAATTACATTTACTCCAGATGTCTATATTGTGTTTGTACATCGCGAACATTTAAAAGATGTGATTTAGAATTCCTGATTAATTATTTATGCTCATCGTATTAAACTGGGCATTTAAAATAATTTTATTTAATATTCATAAATTGGATGCAAAGCAAAACACAAATCAATTACGACCTAGCAACTTTCAGCACAATTTGCCAGAGAAAGCATATACTAAAAGATATCACTTACTTTCTATATATCATCGATGACACTATGATTCTTACCAATGTACACATTAATATTAATTTTCAAGGAACTCGAATCTTAATAGCCTAAATATTAACTACCATTGAATTTTGAAACCAGGATTTGTTGGACTTTTGAAAAGGACAGATAACTTTCTTAATTTGGGTTTGAGTACAAAGGTTCAGTCAAATATTTTGTTGCTAAAGATGAGGAAATCAGAAAATTGAAATTTCATCTCAGAAATAAAATCATGTTCAAGGATGTGAGTGATTTCTATTAACCCTTGAAATTATTAGGGAAGGGAGGATCTTCTAAAGTAAACATCTTCATTATTCCTAGGTGTACCTTGTAGTGGATAAAGATAACAAGCACGATTTCGCATCAAAATGTGTTGAAAAGAGATATCTAAAAGAAGATGGTGGATTTGTAAAATATGAAATATATTATTAGCAAGCCTTGTTTAACGAGATAAATTTGATGGCCATATTAGATCACGAATCTGTTGTAAAATTGGAGGAAGTCTATGAAGGAGAAAATACATTTTATTTGATACTTGAACATCTCAAAGGGAACTCATTACACGACGTCTTAAGTAAAGGGTAACTAACACAATTAAACTGGGACTAAATCAAATCAATATTATGGGTATTTATCTATTTCTAGTCTTATAGCAAATCTTGACAGGAGTTGCAAGAATGCATCAATTGGACATAATGCACAGAGATTTAAAACCTGAAAATATTATGTTTAAAGAAGCTAATTAAATCACAGGATTGAGAATTGTAGATTTTGGTTTAGCAACATAAACCCATGTCTAAAATTACCCATTTCCCAAATGTGGCACACCTGGATATGTCGCACCTGAGATAGCAAATCTTAGAGATTTAACTTTCAAATATGATAAGATTTGCGATATCTTTAGTGTGGGATGCATTTTCTATAAATTGTAACTATTTTATGGTTAAGCTTATTAGAATCACTTCAAAGGATTTGTTTCCAGGAAATGATTATCATGAAATCTTAAAGTTGAATAAGAAGTGCATTATCAATTTAGATAATCTAAGCATTTACAGAACGCCTTAAGCAGCCATGGAACTTATTTAATTAATGTTATAAGTGGATCCACATTAGAGAATCTCTGCATAATAGGCCTTGGAACATCCATTTTTTTCGGGAGGTTTTACTGATAGAAAATTGAAATTCTAATCCTAGAAAAAAGGCTCTGGATAAGGGAAGTTATGGCAGACTTCCACATTTCGAATGGAAAAATCAGATAAATTACAACTGCCAGAGATCAAATAGAAATCAAAATAAAGAGATGAGGATGAAGTAGAAGATGAAAAAATTAAAATTAAAGTTCCTGTTATGAATAGTCCAAGATTAGCATAACACGCTAAACGTAAAAATTTAGCATTAGCTGATGGTTCACCTACAGAAAACCCTAAAAAGAGTGCATTTAAAAAATTTTCTACTTAAGAATTCGATCAACAGTCACCTGATACTTGTTCACCAGATTCAGCTAGACAACATCCTACATTAATCATTAACAATAGTCCTAAACTTGTATAGAGTTAAACATTAAAACGAAAGTTTACTTATAAAAATTATCACTAACATTAAGCAATTTATGAAGTTGATGATGAGTAAAAAAATTAATGATTAATTTTATAATTTGTGTTCATAGAAATAAAATAATATAATTGACAATCTAATTCTCAAAGCGTAGAATAATTCATCTAAAATATTAGAATAAAAATAGAAAACTTTTACTGATTATATAAATTTGTAAATATTTCTTATTGAAATTCAAAATTATTTGATCAGTCAACTAAAAACTTAAAATATATCATTAATTCATTGCTTTCTTTCCCAAAACTATGTAATCACCTTACAAGCCATGAGTCACTTTTTTTCCTATTAAGATATAAAGAATTTCTCACCTTTGGAATTGAACTAATATGGCTAATTTGATGATCCGTATTATTATTTGCCATATATTTTTTTAGGATCATATTTTTTAGATTTTGGAATCTATGGGAGCATCATTTATTTATGAGATGACTATTTCTCAAGATCATCATCACTGTCATGATGTTAAGTATTTTTATAGATGCTCTCAACTCTCAAATCAAACTACAAAGAGGGTAACTTTAACAATAACATAATTATATACTCCTGACTTCTTCTAAGATTTCGCATAGTAATTTTGAGTTTTCTTGAAATTCATCTAATGTTGTTATTTACTTTCTTCTATTCTCTGGCTCCTTTCCAAAGAGTTGTCATTCCTAATTATTATAAATTATAATCATACTGCTCTCTGTGATTCGATATTCTGATTTATTGTAAAGTATGCTAAAAGCTCTTTTAAGTATCAGCCTCATATAATTCTCTGAAATATTCATGTCTTATGGCTTGTTGGGCATTGATTCTTTCCTCAGGGTCATAAATAAGCAATAATTTAATTAGATCAATGCACTCCTTGCTTTAACCTTACAACAACCTATCAATGCCACTGCCATGTTTAGGTGGGAAATTGATTTCCATATGAGTTGCTTGTCTAAACTAGTATAAAGGTAATACTTTCTAAATCTATCGAAAACTTTTTGGCTGGGAGTTCCCAGGATGTTGTGTATTTTGTTGACTTGATCTAATTCATTGGTTCCTGGGAAGAGTGGAAATAAAGCGATGATTTCAAACATGACACATCCTACTCCCCAGAGATCCATTTTATGATCGTAATAGCCATCTGTCAATAAGCATTCGGGGGCTCTGTACCATCTAGTAGAGATATATCTAGAATGAGACATAAATTGATAGTAATACTCAGTATAGGGATGTTTGGAGTAGATTCCTTTGCATGATCCAAAATCGGCAAGTTTGAGATGATCTGAGTTTAGCAGAATGTTTTCACTAATAATTTGAATATTGATTACGGTTTAATGTCTCTGTGAAAGATGCCATTTCTGTGCATATGTTCAATAGATTTTAGCAGTTAGTACATAAAAGATTTAACTTTTTAAGGATTCAAAGGTTATCTCCTGCCTATTTAAAATGTTGGTAATAATACCTTTAATATGTTCATACAAATTCTGTTCCATCAACTCGAACACCAAAGCCAAACGCCCTGTGGGTTCATCACTAAATTAAATTTATATGATTTTCATACTAAAGAACTTCAATCAACTTTATAATGTGATCGTGAGGACTTAGCTTTCTTAAGGCCTGTATCTCTCGTAAATGATTAACCTACACATATTCAGTATGTCTTACTTGTTCGATGGATGTGAATTTATTTTTCATGCATTTAATTGCAACATAATTTCCAGTTTTGAATGATTGTGATTTGATCACTTCTGAGAATGTTCCTTCTCCCTTTTTGCCAACCAGTTTGTATTCTATTGAAATATTGCTAAAGATTACAATTCATTTCTTCTAAATTGTATTATATAATTAATATTCAAATCATAATAGATCAAATGGGAATAAGCATCTGTCCAAAGTAGCTTCCCTCTACCAATCAAGAAGTCCTAGTTCAACTCTCAATAAAGAGACCTCCATTCGCCGTCAAACTGGAGAAAATCCTCAAAATCGAATTAGAAGACGACACTATAGAGAGAGAAGACTCTCCATAACTCGCCCAACTACAGAAGACTGAGATGGATGAGTTAAAGATGTCCTTTACCGCATAACAGTCAGAAGAAATCGACAATACAATATCACATCCTTGGCTAAAGAAGAGTTACCCATAACCACAATGCAATGAAAGCTTAGTTAAGAATGATCTATAGAATGCATCATTCGAACCAAACAGCTCTAGTTTTGATTTGCTAAAACCTAAATCAATCCTTAGAATCCACAAAAATGGCAATCCTAATTCTGAACACATCTCAAATGATCAACAATCCATTGCATCTATTAAATCAAACAAAAAGGTTAGCTTTGATAAACAAGTTCAATTCAGCAATTTCAGAAAACACTGAATTCTCTGATTAATTTTGATTAGATATTGAGTTTATTATTTCTTTTCACAACAATATATTTTAATATGAAATTAGCTGCTAAATTCACCATATCTTTGAATACCATACCTCTAAATGATTGTACATCAGCCATTACCTACCTGAAACTACTCCTTCAGAATCAATAACAAATTGACAAAATACTTATACATCAATCTCTTACTGATAATCAGAATCGAATTATTGGCATGTTTAAATAGGATTCCTACCAATTAGTCCAATTCGTCAAGTACGCCCAGGATATCACACAAGATCCTCTTAATTCTTACTAAAATTACTTAAATGATGTTATTCAAAAACGATTTCCATCAAAACCCTTTTTGCTTAAATGTCTCCAATTGAATTCTCAATGCAATCTACAGATCCTCCAAAGCATGCCTAATGCAGCTATCGATACACTACCACATTCCGTACTTAACAAAATCATCACAACACAATAATTAGATTACAAAGAATCAACCACTGTCCTCCATTTCCTACATAACAAAAAGCTATTAAAACAACTGCTCCAATGTGCTTGGGTTTAAAATTATATTCAACTCTCGAAATTCGGCTTGCAAGATTACAATCTCAAGAATTTAGCACTCTTAAGTCGAATTTACGCAGATATTGGCACTAATTTTTTGAATTAGGTGGCAAATTCAGTCGAAAAGATGGATTTGTCTTCTGATCAATCCAATCAATGGTCCCTTATTACTCTGTATCAAAATTTAAGTCTTCTGAGAAACAAACAAGAGCTGTTAAGAAGGATAGCCAATCTGATTATTTTAAATGACAAGGTTGAATTAAAGGATTTGATGTAATTGCTCATTGGAGTCTCTTAATCCAAAGATGATCTGTTGGCGCAGAGACTCTTCTTTGTCTTGAGAAAGTTGACTCTCAATGAAGAAGATCTACCATTATTTTATTTATGTGGAACTTATTTCAAATAAATTGAACCAAAACGCATTGATTAAGAATTTAAAGAAGGAAATTTGCATAAAATCCTTCTCTTGATGACTCCAAAATAAATGGGGGAATTTTGTGTTAATCTATTTCGAAATTATCAAATAAACTTATGTGAATTTATAACAAAAAATAAACAAATAATACATCCTTAGAACATTGTTAATTTAATTTCAATTAACAATAATAATGTCCTAGAATTAGATTCCTTGGTTGAGGAATATTTAAAAAATAAGTTAATTGATATCCCTGGGGTGATGAAGTTAGCAACCTATCAATAATACTAAAAAACTATATCAACATTCATAGTTGATTATCAATATTATGATATTGCTTTTAATGTCAAGGAATTAGCAGCCATTTTATTATAGATTGATAAATATCTACCAAATCTCGGAAGATTGGTTGAATTTAGTCTTCAAGCAGTTAATAATGAGATGTCAAGTGCTTAAGGTTTAGCAAACATAATATATTTGGCCTCTAAAAAAGATGCTAATCAAGATATTACACTGTCGGTAAAGATTATCAAAAAGATCATTGATGATTGTGATCCAATTGAATTGTTAAACTTTTTGAGGGTGCTTGAAAAAAATCGAGAGTTGTTTGATCAACTTAAAATGACAATAATGGATTAAATCAACAAGAGGGTAGATTCCAAAAACAGACAAAGAGTTGAAAAACATATTCAAAAGTTGCCCAAGCATTTGCATTTCTAATTACAATGAAAAATGTATAATTTAATTTAATATGATAAATTTAAAAAAAAATTCTGATTCGGATATCGAATCCCTCATTGAATCTATGTTGAGATTAATGGAATATATGAATCAAAATCCAAGTTTTAAACGGAAAATGTTTGAATCCTTTAATCATGAAGATTTAAATAAAATTTAGAAAAATTTGAACGATAAAAAGAATATCACTCTAAGAAAGATTTCATGTTTATTTTTATGTTGCATTTTATAAAATGAAGAAAATTGTGAAAGCTTTTTGAAATTATCTGACTTAATACCAATCAATTCAAAAATTGCTTTGAATGGTATTCCAGAAAGGATTTCAAAATACGTTTCAAATGATACAATATTGAAATTATAAAACGCATAATTTTCAGAAAATTCATTATGTTGGTACTACACATATCAAATGGCTAAGGAATAGTTACCATATTTATAATTCTTTTCATTGAATTATTTGGATATTAGAAAATCGATCAATGATTTTGTTGATCCTCTAGACTCAATAATTGGAATTGTTTATGAAAAATATAAGATGTCTAAACCTATAACTACAAGTAACGATATTTCTAAAAGAGATAAAAGAAGTCAAATGTAAAAACTAAGTGTATCCCCTATGACAAAGTAATAGTAAATGGGATGCACAATCAATAATGTTTCTCAAGAGAAGTATTAAAAACGATATGTAATTTCAAAAGTTTAGCAATTTAATTAATCACATAAATAGTAAGATAATTCAACTGAAAGAAAGAGTGTTAATTATGATGTTTTGAGGAATAAAATACTGGAATAATAATAAAACACAAGAACCGCAATTGTCAATTAAAAACCTTATAAGGAAATATAATCTACAAGTATGGAGATGAAATTGAGGTTACTTAAAAATTAATGATATTGATGGATTTATTTTATATACTTACTTTCTATAATTTTAAAAATCATTAATCACTCTAAAACTCTCGAACCAAATCCTTCAGAGGTTTCTATTTGATATCTTCGCTATTTTTTTATTTTACATCTGATGCCTCACTTTGCTTTTCTTCTTCTTGAATTTGAGACTAGTTCTTAATATAGAAAATTACAATAGGATTGAAGTTGGTATTCATAACTTTTTTGGCAATAGAAGTGGGATCCTAGTTTTCAACAAGGGATGAACCAAATTTCTTAATGTAGATGTTATATGCAATTTATATGTGAGTCTGATTGCGTTAGAAATAGAGATATTGTTTGTTTTTATCGTAGATATCAGGAGCTTATTTAGTTTGATTGGAATTGGGGATTAATTGGCTTACGATTTATTGACTGAAACAACAATTAAAGTATTGTTAAGTTTGAAATAATCCAGGTTTAGTATTGATATCTCTTTGTGTGTTTTGAGGTTCCTTAGTTGGAATGGCATTTCTCTATTTAGTTTATTTAGACTGTTTTCTTATGGTGGGCTTCGAAATTCTCCTAACTTTGATGGATTGTATTGATATTATACTTTTATTCAAGTCTGAAACTAAGTTATAAAAGTTTTTGACAACTTCTCTAAAATCATTGTCATCATAAATTTTTCGTCTATTCCTCATTGACTGAAATTATATCTATTGGAGATAGTATATGTACAGATTTATATTGTTACAGATTATTGAGGTTTGAACTCTCGTGTTGTTGGTCACTTTCAAGTAACATTAATCTGAAATATGTATTAAAATAAAGGACTTTCACATTAAAAATATGTTTTAACAAAAATTACAGAAATAAATAAGACTCAAATATCTCAAAAATACAATTATTTAACTGCTTCCTCAACAGTCTCATATTAGATAAGTTTATCTTATTTGAAGTGCGCTAAAATGATTGGCCTTACATCTTCAGCTGGTAATATGTATTAACACAAGTATCGATACAACTTAATTAATTAATTGTCCTTTTCATCATTGTAAAATGAAATGATCGGAATCCCATTTTCTAAATGGTGTCTAACTTATTGTCGAAATCAACAATTACGCAAAGCTGCAAGAAGAATTGTCAATTATGACCACATTCCTCAAATCTCTATTCAAAATTCCAAGATGTTTGATCAAATGGTTATCATCCAAAGATATGCAATTATCCCTAAAGATCCTTTTGCCTAGATTGTTATGTGGGTCTAGAATATTTATAACCTCAAATAACAACAGACCATTTTACTTGGTTAGCATAAATATCCTGAGAGGCAGTAAAGACCATGACTTCACAAACATCACTTAACTTTTAGATAATCTCTTTTGCGAAGTTTCTGATGTTAATCCCTGCTACTATTCTCTCTCCATCCTCAAATTCTATTGGAATTTTGAATTGGCATTTGTCATTTTCATCCTCATTACAATGCATCAATGTTTCATCCATATCAAAAATGATTGTTTTATTGTCTATTTTCAATAATCAACAGTATAATTACATTTCTTATTTCTTGCTAAAGGAATATTTAATTTTTTATCTTCTATTTACTGAATATCAATTTCTGATTTCTGAATCAATGGAATATAAGTGAAGGAAACAACAATATGTTCCCTAAACATTTCTGAATTCTTTGCATTTTAGTTTAAAATGGCATTCTACAAATCCCCAACATAATACACTTAAAATTTAATAAGTTCATTACAATTTGAGAGGTGTTTACTATTCACTTAAGCAATTTGTTTAAATGAATGAGGTTTCTCATTTCTTTGTTATTGGGTGATAAAATTGTGGTTTTTAGCATTTGCGTGATTCTTAAAATTCTCGAATTATGGTTTTGCTTGACATTTTATCATTACCAAAGGAGGTTGTTATGATTGACTATCCGACAAACTTGATACATGTTATTGTCTTCCATTCTCTGTAAATTATTTATCAGCTGTATTATGTTAACACTTACCTTTTGTTTACTTTTGGATTTCACTAAACTCAATTCATAATTATACTTTGATTCATTTCTTTTTTAGGAACCATAACTATTTTGATGTCTTCTCATTTCTTCTGCTCCAGTTGTATACCTTCTTAAGTTAATTGGTTTTTGATTCTAAAAAATCGATAGATTTTGATTCGCATAATTTAATTGGGTACCTGTATTTCTGGGGGGTAATTTATTCGTTGTTTTCATTTAATAAATATATAAAATATATTATATTCAGTTAATTTAATAAATAGTGATTTTTTAAATATAAATTAAGTACATGAATTAACAGAAGGTTGAGGGGAAGTGGCCAGATTGTAGCTGGGAAAAAGTATCTGTCTTTGAGTATTCATGTTTTCATGTTTCATATTCAATATAAGATCTTTATATTTTAGGACTCCTGATTAGGAATTAAGTTATTTAAAAAAACATGAAAAAATTCTTAAATGATAGTTAACAGCTATAAATCAATTTTCTTAAATAATAACAGATGGGATTGGTCGCACAAAGCTTTTTCCTTTTCTCTTGCTTTTTTGAAGAGGATTAAACTTTTAATGATGTGATCTACATTAAGTGGCTGTTCTAGTGAGAATACATTGGCTCATCAATTTAAAGATTTTTTTTGATTTCTTATCATACTTGGACCTCAATATTTCTTCGTGATCATTGACAAACTAAAGATACAATTGATGCTCCAGCTTACTCCAATGACCTATGGAATTATCAAATAAATTTGTACCATTTACTCTTGATGAACTTTCCTCATCGTCAGAATCCGTATTTCCCTTCGGTGGTTAATCTGTTTCACTTCCTACAAGTAGTTATTTTGAATTTTGTGTGAGCTTCTCCTACTTTTGTATTTTTCTATCACTATTCTGGTCTTCCTAAGTTTTCGTGTTTTCTCCTCTTAAATCAACTCTCGGAATATATTACATCTAAGAAATCACTAATAGACTAATGATAAATTGTACTGTATTAAAATATTTATGGATTATAAAGGAGATTGTTCAAAAATAAAGTTTAAAACAAGGGATTTCCATTGATTAGATTCATTTATTCTTCAAAATTCATTATGGATTCTATGAATATAAAATAATTTATTTAATGAGAATAATTTAATCATCAATAGACTTTAAGTGATCCAAATATATTAAATTAAACAATAGTAATTTTAATCAGCAAATTTATGATATCTTCCAACATCTCTTCTATACACTCCATTTTCCAGATTCATTTTATTAATATAATAACATATACTGAAATCAATCTAGGCTTCTTCTTCCTTGCTCCTTTCCCCATATCTCAGCTCCTTCATTCATGTTCTCATCCTCAAAACACTAATTAGTTCAATATATAACACAAATCTTGAATAAGTCAATAATGCGTATTAATATGATCTAATGATTTTTAATTAATTCTAAAAATTATTAGATGCCAAATAAACTATATTTTTAGATAATTTTATTCATAGTAACTCTGGCTCTCTGATTCAAAGATTTCAATTCATCACTCAATTCCTTAGTATTACACCAGTCCCTCTGTCTCTATTCCTCAAAACCATCTTGGTTTATGTCTGTCATCTTTTTGCGAGATTACTAGACCAATCTATAGTGAATTATCTTATTCATACTTATTTTTTTCGTTTTTATCAAACAAATCCACATTATAAATGAGGTAATTTTGGTCGCAACAATTTTACTTACTTATTCCCCATACTTAGAAAGACATTTGATAGTGGTATCGATCTATTTTCTATTATTTTTAGATCTGTTTTCATTATTAAATTACATAAATGAATAATAAAAAGGAAGATTTCTTCGAGACTCTTGAAGGCGGAAATTGCTTAAGGCTTAATTTTGTGAAGAAAGTAAAAGTTAAATCATGTTTAAATTTAATTATAGTCTTTTGTTAGATTTAGTCTTAAATCTAATTCTTTGTGTTATGAATCATTATGATATTAATCACAAAGTTTAGTACTTTGAGCACTAAACTCAGGCTATCCATTTTGGACCTGATTCTAACAGATCTTTTAAAATATTTTAATTTATCTTTTGAACTATTTATAATAATTTTTAAATATAATTTGCATTTATGTACAAAATTCCCAAACTTCTCAAACCACCACATAAATAGTCATTAGAATTTTAGAAAATGCAGGAGGAGTTAAGAAAAAGTATGTACATGGTTTGATATAAAGGCTAGTAGGCTTAAAAGGAGAAAGTTGATGTTAAAATACAACCCGAATTTGTTGTAGAAGAAGACTTGGATGAAAAGGATTATACAAATTTTATCCCATTAAAACAGGAACCTTAAAAGTTTGAATAACTACAACATTATTAGCCAAGGGACTATTTAGAAGAGTTTTTCGATTAAAAAGGAATCATTAAGAGAAAGTAGGATAGAAAAAATAAAATGGTTAATGCAATAAATTATGAAATTGAAAGGAATGAAAAATGCATAGATTAATTAATGTAGGAGTTTTAGGATTACTAAGAGGAGATTAATCACATTTAAGGTAAGGTTAAGGATTTGGAGAAAGAAGGGAAAAATTTAACAATTCTTTAGAAGTTGTAAATCTTAGAAGGCAATCTGGACGAAGCCTTAAATTTGGAGATAAAGGAGGAATTCAAATTGAATCCTGATGATGAGGATATTGATGATAAGTTGGATTTGATGTATGACAATACCAATAATTTAATCGACGAATATGAACAACTAAAATATTAGATATTGGAAGAGGAGGAAAGACGTAGAGAGGATCAAGAAGAGAAGGAACTCTTGGAATAATTGGATGATAAGTAAATTGAGGATAGAGAGTTGCAACATGAATTACAAAGAAGGATCGAGTAGGTAAAAAACGAGGGTGTCAAATTGCAGATGCAATAAAAGCTTTAAAAGTTAAAAGAATCCACGCTCCAAAGAACTGAAATGAAAAAGGCATCTGTGAAGAATTACTGCAGAAAAAGCAAGCCATAATAGGAATCTACTTAAAAAAAGAAGTTCTCTGACAAGAAACAGTATAATATGTACTCATAACAATTTGGATATGGGAAAGATAAAATTACTTTTAAGCCTTTATGATATTATATTCATGAAAACTAATCAGTTAAAAATCAACAAATTTTTGATATTAATGAGATAGATTATTAATAAATGATCAATATTTTAAAAGCTCTGCCTTGATGAATTCGTTCCATTCTTTTTATTTTGAAACATTCTAACTATGGTTTGTTTCTTCATCATATTGCCTTTCCATTTGGAGGTAGTATTGGAAGGTATCTTAAAACAATTTAGTGCATTCCATCCTGTAATTTTTGGTGTACTTGAATTTGTCAGCTCTAAGGTCATATGGTATTGATACTTTTATTTGAATTCTAAGGCACAAAGACATCCAATCAAATAATGTCCAGTTTCATGTTCCAGCAATCGATCCCATTTATTCTTCACCCAAGATTTGTTGTTGAGACAACACCAACTTTAAATAACAAGTCGGTATTTGATATTTGAAGATTTCTTCATTTTCTTCATGTTGATGTCAAAAGTGTATCCGACAGTCCAGAAGCAATGTGCTTTCCAACGTGACAAATTATTTGGAGGAGCTGAAAAGTAACTCCAATCAACCTTCAAGATCTTTACTCCATTTATAGTGATGGGAAGAATCGAATTGAAATCCTCATAATTAAAGTAATTCAAGGGATCTTCGGATGTATTTTTAGAAACAGGAGAAACTATTAATCAAAATGATTAAATACTATCAACACAATCGTCCTCTAACTTCGAACAACTCTATGGAGGACTTGAGGTATTCGAATTGCTGCAACATGTTGAATTATTAGAGATGCTAGGCAAATGATGGATTCTGCTTTTTAAATAATTGGTTACTTTATTTAGGATGAAGCTCTTTTTGGAAGACTGAAATTTAATGATTTGCTAGCCTGAGAATGCTTTCTATTTTCTCTCGATCTAACTGAGCTCATCATTATTAAAAAACCACTAAAAAAATGTTTTAATAATTTTTCTTAAATTATCTATCATATTACTTCATCATAACTGGTAATATTAACGAAAATCAACAAAGTTATTACAAACTAACAAACATAATACTGCTTATGAATTATTTAGGATTTAGTACTCATTCCCCATCTTAAACCACTCAAACTTGATTCATTATATTGATCGTTAATACGGTATTAAAGAATTACTCAATTAAAATCATAAATATTATAATTATGATAATAAACTAAGGCACTAACAAAGTCTAGACAATTAATAAGAAAATACAGAAGAAGTAATTGGTAAAGGAAACAAAAAAGGTTGAAGTTGAAAATGAGGAAGAAGTGCCCTAAGAATAATCTGAATCGGAAGAAAAGGTCAGAATTTCCAATATAGATCAATTGGAAGAACAACCAGAATAAAATAAGAATGTTAACACAGCCATTTTGTCTGATAAGAAATTTACTGATTTCGCACTTTGTGAACCATCAAAGAAAGCATTAGAAAAGATGAACTTTACAAAAATGACCCACATTCAAGCTAGAGCAATACCACATTTATTAAAAGGTAGAGATGTTTTAGGAGCTGCAAAGACTGGCTCAGGCAAAACCTTGGCTTTCTTGGTACCAGCCTTAGAGCTTTTATATAAAAATTAATTTTAATAAAAAAATGGAACTGGTATCATTGTGCTCACTCCAACAAGAGAACTGGCCTAATAAATATTTGATGTTGCTAAGGATCTCTTATTCTATCATTAAAAAACTCTAGGATTACTTATTGGAGGTGCTAATAGAAAAGAAGAAGCTATTCGATTGTAAAAAGGAGTCAACATTCTAATTGCTACTCCTGGTAGATTGTTGGATCACTTATAGAATACTAAAGGATTTATTTATCATAATTTATAATGTTTGATAATAGATGAAGCAGATCAACTATTGAAGATTGGTTATGAAGAAGAAATGAATGAAATTCTTAATTTATTACCAAGTGAAAGATAAACTGTATTATTTTCAGCAACTCAGACCAAAAAGGTTGATGATTTAGCTAGATTATCACTCAATCAACCCATATACATTGGAGTTGATGATATTGCATAGGAGGCTACTGTGAGTGGTTTAGAATAAGGCTATGTCATTGTTGAAGCAGACAAGAAGTTTTTGCTGTTATTCACATTCTTATAACTTAATTCAGATAAAAAGATCATGGTTTTCATGTCATCATGCAACTCAGTCAAATTTCATGCCGAGTTATTGAATTTTGTTGATATGCCTGTTCTTGATATTCATGGAAAGTAAAAGTAAAGTAAAAGAACAAATACATATTATGAATTCTGTAATGCAAAGAAAGGAGTTCTCGTATGCACTGATGTTGCAGCTAGAGGTTTGGATATTCCAGAAGTCCATTGGATTATATAATATGATCCTCCTGATGACACAAAAGAATACATCCACAGAGTTGGTAGAACTTGCAGAGGACTTAATTCTTCAGGAAAGGCATTGATATTTTTACTACCAGAAGAAAAAGGTTATTTGGGTCACTTAAAATTGGCCAAGGTCGTAATGAATGAATTTGAGTTTCCTTCAGAGAAACTAGCAAATATATAAGAATAATTTGAAAAACTCATAGAGAAGAACTACTTTCTTAATAAAAGTGCTTTCGAAGCTTATAGATCATATTTACATGTATTAAATTCCTTTAATTTTAGTCTTATCAATCCCATAGTCTCAAAGATGTTTATGATGTTAACAATTTAGACCTTGTTAAAGTCTCCAAATCATTTGGTTTTAAATGCCCACCCAGAGTGTCATTAAGTAATTGAATCTTACTAATTTATCTAGATATTAAGATTGCAAGTTCAACAAAGCGTAAATAGAAGGTTCAATCTTTTATGAATAAGAAGAAACCAGGATAATGGAATAAAAAGTAGCAATCGGATGGAAGATAATTTATGAGATGATTGATTTTATTATATTCTGTGTTTATAATTAGAATAATAATTATAATTTTGGTTGGATATATCATCTGAATCATTAGTTATAAATTAATTCTGTAGAGACGTTAATTTGGCTTTATTGTTTTTAGTTCTTATTGTATAGATATGATATATATAAAAATCTGTTTTCACTCATTTGCTGTGAATTCCACCTGTAATTTATTCATTCCGATTAAATCTCTTTATAATAATGGACTAGTATTTTAAATTGATTTTTCTGTACTGTCCAGTTATTATTAATTTGAAAAGAATGTGAAAGAACTGCAATTCTTATTTCTTAACAATGCCTGTTATTGACTGTTCTAGGTCTTTAAACCAGGAATATTGAATTGAGATCTAAAATTGAGATTATAATATACTTTTTATCCTCGTTCCCTGTTTATTGTGATACCAAATTAGGAATCATACATGGTACATACCTTACAAAATTTGAAGAATCATTGATATTAAGGATGCTGGAACCATGATTTGAAAGTTCTGGTTGCTAAATATTCATTTCACTAAAAAAGTTCACATTTAAGCCATTCTCAACCTTAATCACTTGATTATTAAGGAAAGTCTATAATTGCTATTTAGAACTCATAATAATGGTTTGAGTTTTTGAATTGTAAAATGCAGGCTATAGGTTTTTTAGGTCGCTTAAATTCAGATTATCAAATAATTTAATTGCAAATGATGTTTGATTTGTTGATTAACTAATATATTATTATTTTTAAGGATCCTGATCTTTTTAATAATAGTGGTACACCTTCTATTTCTTAAGGGCTGATAAAGGAATAGTGGGATTCTCAGTTTTAAATCTATTTTTTAACGTGTTGATGAGGGTTGTAATTGAGGTGCAATGATTTTTTTTAAGTAAGCAATTAAACCTATTTTTGACAGCATTTTCACTTCTTTTGGTCTTTAAATTTTTCGAAATAAATGCCCATTTTCTATGGTGTTTTTTTACAATTTCTAACAACTCAATATCTTCTTCAAGATTCCAAGGATGTCTATTTATGTCAGGATTTAAATGGTTGTTCCATCTTTCTCTGCATTGCTTCCCTGTTCTCGGGGATTCCTTAAAGTGTAGATTGAGTAAATTGGCCAACCTGCACCATTTGTTTTATTTACCCTCCTCTTTGCTTTTTCTAATATATTAAAATCAAATTAACCTAATTAAATCAAGCAAAAGTATATCTTATTCTTCCGTCCATGGAATTTATTATAATGATAATTTCAATAAGTCATTCCATTTATTTTTGCATTATTCAACTGTACGTCGACTAAGCAACAATACTACCTCTTCCCAAATCTTGTTAGGCTTAAATTACTTGAAAATTTACTATTTTCCGTATACTAGTTCCATCTCTTGCACAAATTTTTAAAACAATCCAAATGAGAATCTATTTATCGTCATCAGTCCAATTCTTTCTCAACTTTGGAGTCCATTGTTGACTTAAATCCATTTGCAATTAGTATACTTCCTGGTCAGTTAATAATTCGGAAATATGAAATTATTCTTACAGAAACCTGAATACAAATATACATTACTATAAGGACGGAATCAATATGTCCTTGACGTTTTCATAGAAATTCTGGAACTTCTAGAAAAACTCCCTATTACTTTCAGATAACTACTGGTCATTTTTAGCCTATGCTACTATCAATTATATATCGCTCTATTACTTGCTTCATTTTTTCGAGCTAGTTTTTCCAAAAGCTATTTTTTCTTTCTCCAGTTTCTTGTTTACATTATTAAATCGCTAAGTGCAAGATTAATTAATATTTATATTACACCATAAGAACTTCCATAAATAATTAATTTCAAAGTCTCTATACTTAGAGAATAAATAAAATGACTCAAGATTAATATACATAATTATTAATTATATGTATCATTTGGAGGACAACTCATCCTATAATGACTCATTTAACTCTTGAAATGATTTTCAACACAAATTGACAATTTAAACTAATGTTTAAACATCTAATTATAAATATTAAACTAAAACGCGGTTAATTTGATCCATTATATCACACATTCATTAAGTAAATAAAAATCCTTACGTAACTTGCCATTCAATCATTCATTTGCAAATCCGAATCTCCTCCTATGATCTCTATGATCTTCACTATCATAATTAATGGAAATATTTATCTTCGTTAAATTCATCTCGCATATTCATTAAAGCCTAATCAAATGCTAAAGTCTTTAAAGATTTATTAATCATTATATGGAGATTTTGTACATCTAGTTAAATTTGTAAACCAGACGCAATAATACTCACTTCTTTTAATCTCAAACTATTCCTTCACTTTCTCAACATAATCCTGACTATGCTTAACTAAAACTAAGTATGTGAACCAATTTATATTAATATCTCCTTTGAACTTTCTATTTTGAGTATTATGAATTTCTTGACTCTCTAATCTTGCCCCATGATCATAGAATCCTCATTCTTAAAGATAATTTTTTAGATCATTGTATATAATTTATTTGATTCCTCTATATCAAATTTATTTAAGAAGTCTAATCATTTATTACACTATTAATTTTAGCTATCTAACTTAATAGTGACCCATCTAAAATCAAATTTCTCTTCTCTGCTCCGATAAATCAACTAACTCATAAATTTAATATATTTTTAAAGAATTTGTCTTTGTTAACATTGGCGCTTTCACAATTCATTTATTATATATTTAATTTTATTATCAATAAATAATGAAATTTAATAATATTTTTAAAACATTAATTATGCTTTATAAACTATTGAATTTCTTAATGTATTACATTCATTTAAATCAATTTAACATATCAAATTGAATCTTGACTTATTCCACCTGTCTAATAGTAAATCTATTCTCATCAAATTAAATAATATCAAATAATTTATTAGATATTTCTACTCAATATATAATTAATTGTCTTTCGACCTAAAATTTTGGAATTATACATTTAAATTATATTTCATTAGTTTTACAACTATAACAAATTCTGTAAATATAATATATGTTTTGCAACTCTTTTTTACTGGCTCAGTAAATGAGAAAATTAATAATTTGTTTCATTTTTAATTGTTTTTTACTCCATATTCCAATATAAGTATATGAAATCTATTTTCTAGGATTGATTTAACCACGATGACTCTTTAACCGCTTAACAATTTACTATTTTATTATATGACACAATTAGATAATATAAATTAACTAGATCTGATTGATCTATATTACATGAATGTTATTGAGTTGATTGATATTCCACAAAAGACTGTCACTCAAAAAGAATTATGAAAGTTATCTAATAATTCTTTAAAAACCATAACCACTTCTTATGCAAAGAATGTGCTCATCTTAAGAGACAAATAAAATAAATTCTGAATTTATAGCAAATCTTATTTATAAGTATAATTAATATTATAATTATATTAACTAGTCATCATTTAGACAGATCTGATGATGAAGATATTTCTTATTATTCTGTGATTTCTGATAAATCCATCTTGGATTTTTCATACCCCATTTTCTTAAAGAAATTAATCCAAATATCTTCTTCATTGGATATAGTTCGATGCTAAAGAGATATTAAATATAAATCTAATACATAATCATTATGCAATTAAGTCTTACTGACCCAGAAGAAGGAGAGGAGTGCAATATATGGTAAAATGATGATGATTGTGAAAAATGACAATCTCAAGAAGAGCTCAAAGGCAATAGTATTATTTAGTGACATCTGCAGACATGGGATCATCTAACATGGAGTGCAATTAGGAAATTGTAATTCTGCGTTGATATGCTCCTTAATATAAAAGTAAATCATTTAGAATATTGTTAAAAATTAAGAAGCACTGCACATTACAATTATCATTCTCAAGTCTTCCCTTTGTGTTTCATTATTTTAAAATGTCTTCATCTATAACAGCGGCAGATCTTAATAAAGTGGTTTGACTTTGTCATCCACTTTTTGTTATAACTTTGCACTAAAGACAATCAAAATTATAGTAATGCATCCTCCCACTATTTTAGAAACCAAACTATATTTAACTAGAATAAGTCATATCTTACAATAACATTCATAGAAAACCTCGTCTTCTTTGATCAATTCTACAAATACAAATACCAACCCCATTAGTACTAGGGCACATAAGAAAATAGCAAGGCTTCTGTATTTGGTTTATGCTCTTTTCCTGTTTGTTACAAGTTTACTTAATTTAAGACTAATATAATAGTAAAAGAAGATGAACACCGTAGTTCTGAAGTAAGGTTCTAATTGGGTCACGTACTTATTACTTATGATGGAGGATTCTACAAATAATACTTTAATTGGTAGTCATGATTACTTAGAAAGTTGGTCATAATCATGTACAAAATGATGCACTTTTTTGATAATTTCTTAGTTCCTACCATATATCTCCTTTGCAATTGTAGAATCAGAATTGAAAGTAATGTAAGAATAATAACACCCAAGATAATACAATTAGTACACTTCAAAAAGTTTTGTGATGGTCCTTCCAAACAAAATTAATAAAATGGGTAAATGCTATTATGAGTTTACTATTCACTCATCTATTAATAAAATAATTAATAAAACAATCCTCATGATATTTTGTTTTTTATTAAAAGCTAAATATATAATTAAAAAGAGTTCACAATGTAAATATTATCGTATTTTACAATGTTTAATATTTTAATTACTTAAAAAATAACATATTTGGATTCCTTAATTCTAAGTCATGCCTACTAATTCAATTTTCATGAATATTTCTTATCTAAATTGCAATTTAGTGATAAAATATTCATGAAATAGCATTTATGCATTTATGATTTTCAAATTTAGAGTTTATTGTAAATAATTCATACTTAAGGCTCTTAGAGAAACAACTTAATGATATTAGCATATGGGAATAGATAATTATTTATATTCAATTTTAAATACAAGAAAATAAAATGGATATTTTGTGATTAAAACTCAACATAACATAAAAGGAAAGTGTATACGCAATTCTGATATTCATTCTTTTTAAATATACATCTATAGTGTTATTCTAATTACTAGTAACACAAAACATATACACTTAATTGCTAAGCAAATTATGCCTAATAAACCCCTAATTTATACTAATCTTTTAATGAGGATGAAATAATGATAGAATAATTTGGAGGATAAAATGATATACACAGTTACAGATTTTAAGCAATAATAAGATTGATCATTATAATAAAAAGAGTTAACAATTCGAAATAATTAATTAACTTAATAATTGATTACTTAAAAATAAAGGATCTTATTTATGAGCATTTGTCATCATCCTAATTTAATTAATCTTTTGTCTTCTTTTTCAAAGAGATTCAATCTCACTAGACTACATAATTTATAGGTGTTAGTAATAATAACTAACCGCTCCTCAAGAAGAAATTTCTATATATGGAATAGAAATTTAATAGGAGTGTGTAAGGAGAGTTGGAGTACTTTGAAGAGAGGGTATTCTTTAGTGATAAACACGATTAGACAATTTGTAGAAATCTGTATAGATTTATAATTTGCATTTGTTGTAAACAATAAATAAATATTAAATTTCTCTAAATCTAATTATGAATTCTTAAATCGAAAGAAACTCTGATCCTCCCCGTACTAATGTGATTTTGGTTGTAATAACTAACAAAGCTAACAAAACCTTGAGTCATGATAAATATTTTAAAGTGTTTAGCCCTTTTGGTACCATATAGAGAGTAAGTGTTGGGCTATAGTTGTTTAGATGCTCATCTTTGAGAGATCACTCACATGGAAAACCTTTGTGGAATTCGACAACCCAGAATCAGCACTAAAAGCTAGATCATAGATGAATGATAAATTCTTCTGTGATGATAACACATTGTTGATGAATGTGTATGCGAGCAAATTGACCTACATCACATTCCAAGAGAACAACACGGGGGGAGTAGGTATGAGTGTGATTAATTGGTAGATTACACTCAGTTAAGAAAAAAGGAATCCTCACCTCCAAATGAAGTGACATAATCTTCTTCGTCCATCAAAAGCAATCCCATTCCTCCTTAATAAAACTTCTAATTCTTGTAATCACAAATGCAGTTCTAACACCAAATGTCTCAGCAAATCCAGCAAATCAATTCTCTGATGGGGCAATTGTAACAGGCCTGTGCAGAAGGCTTTGCCACACCTTTACAATAGACAAACGACCTTTAGAATCAGATCGAGAAGCAGCAGTCGATTTTGAAGGACATTTACGATTTTTAACTAAAATTTTCTAATCTCACCGACAATTACTAAAACTTCTTATAGGAATACAATCAACTAGACGATTAAAAGTCAATCAGTGTGCAATCTAGCAACAACGGCAAACAAAATCGAAAGAAACTAACACTGCCCAATGACAAAAAGGCTCAAAATGGGGATTAGATTGAATTCATACAGAGTTACCATGAAACCGATGTTACAAAGGATGTCATGTTCCATAGTTCTGATAAATTGATTGATCAAATGCAGGTGCAGAAAATGTATTTGAGTGAGGGGAAGAGCGTTGCGAAAGCAGAAGATCTCAATTTCAATGGATTGGGTTTGAGAGACTCGGAAGGAGAGGATGACAATCTTCAGGAATACGAGGAAGAACTATTCTAATGTGATAATGAGATTGAGAACGAGGAAGATGACATCAACAATGAATTGTTCAAGTTTGTTGATCAGAATCAAGAGTTCACTGAAGGAGAGAAACAGAAGATCTTCAATAAATTGAATCAAGATATGCTCTTTGACAAAAATGATAATCAAGTGGCTCATCAAGTTGAAAAACAAACACAGCAAAACACCATTGAATAATCATCGAGGAGTGTCGACAACATTGATCAATTGATCAGCAAAGGTAAGATCCAGAGGTAAAGCACTTCCAAAAGTCAGACTCTATAATAATAATAAGAGAAGTTGGAAGAATATGTGAATCCCCTATTTTTTAAAGGTTCAACTTTTATTGATTTTCTTTAGCTCTACGCAAATCTAAAGTCATCTACGCTCGGTGGTTCGATAAGAAAGTTGTCACATCGGCTATGCTTTACAATATATTCAGCATCTATGGCAACATAGACAAGATGATCTATCTCAAGGAGAGATCAAGTTGTCTCATTCAATATGTGATGCAGGGTCATGCAGCTATAGCCAAAGAGGCGTTGAATGACATCATGTTTTATGGATAATAAATCAAAGTATACACACATCCATAACTAGATCTTTTTTTCAAATTATGAGGAAATATCCTTAAAAACATAACCAACCAAACCAGGTGAAATTGCTTCTGATCCTAAAACCCAAGAGGAATATTTCTAGGGAGGAGAAGAAACTCACCGCATCAAACCTGATTCCACTTATACTCTTGCTCCACCTTGTGACACAATCTAAGTTTCTAATCTTACAAGAAATTCTTGTCAAAATTCTATAATGTAATAATATATGCAAGATTTTGGATAAATCAAAGCGTTGAAGTAAGAAGAGTGTAATAATTAGAATCCTATCTACTGGCAATAAGTATTTGTGTATCCTGAAATATGCCACTACTGAAGTGGCATTGACAGTTTTAGCAAATATGAATGGATTAGAATTGGATGGAAAGTAATTATATTTTGTAATATATATATAGACCTATATAAATTAACTTTTCTAAACAAAAATTATGATTGGTTGATTTATCGATTATTCGGATTAATATTACAATATACAACCTACTTTTTTTATTTTCATTAATTCAAATCAATAAAAATGGCAGGAAAATCAGGCAAAGGAATTGGCAAAGTCAGCGCAAAGAGACATGCAAGAAAACCAAACAAAGCATCCATTGAAGGAATTACAAAACCAGCTATCAGAAGATTAGCAAGAAGAGGAGGTGTTAAGAGAATTTCATCATTCCTTTATGATGACTCAAGAAATGTTTTGAAGAGCTTCTTAGAAAATGTTGTTAGAGATGCTATCACCTATACAGAGCATGCCAGAAGAAAGACAGTTACCGTAATGGATGTTGTGTACTCCTTAAAGAGATAAGGCAGAACTCTTTATGGCTTTGGAGCATGAATTAGTTTAATATAAACATTAATAATAATTAATTTAAACTCCTTCTTTCGTTGGATGATTTGTTCAACTTTGTTTACAATTAAATTAATATATCATTAAACCTAAAATGTTTAGAGTGAAAAATAAATCCACTATTTTGTTTTGCCATTATTGTGAAAGTATCCATTTTTGGCGACTTTCAATACTATTCTAATCCCGACTTAATATTAATTAAGGATATATAAATAAAAAGTAGATTTCAATTGGGTAAATGTTGTCTTTTTTGTATAGACAGCTTGAAATGATTGAAAAGGTTATTATTTGCAAATAGTATTCAGATGAAGGGCATATTTATGATTAATAATGATTAAATATAAAACAAAGCTTTAGTGATTCTAATCAAATAATAATGACGTTTTAAATTAAGTGAAGGAACCACTTTAGAGATACTAAATAAATTGAAGAATTATGATAATTGCATTCTTTAAATCTATTAACTTCATGCTCATAGTGCTTTGGCTATGAGATCGATTAATTAGCATCTATAAATTTAATTATGAAGATTTGACTACTACCCTCTCTGAAGCTTATCACAAATTTTGATAAAGTGTTAAGGATGGCTAACATTTGGAAAAGGGTAAATACTTTAGAAAGAAAGAGATTTTAATTAGATCTGCCATTTTATTATTAGATGAAGGATATGAATTAGATGATAATAAAGACACTCAAAAACTTTTAGATTATCATCCATCAAGTAGTACTCTGAAGCTAATTTTCTTTATAATTTTTTTGAATCATTATTATAATGAAGTTATTTATTAATCTATGCCTTTTTCATTACTTTATTTTGGATTAGCAATTATTTTGGCAAACTGGCTGCCTTATTTATTATTTTAAAAAGTGTTGCTTATATTTATTTAGCATTATCATGAATTTATCGTTTGTTATAAATATTCTAAAATAATCTTGTTACTTCATTTTGATATCCTTTCTTCTACAAACTGCTTCTATTTTCTTTCACTAGTAGCTATAGTTATGTAAAATATAATTTAAATATTCGATAGTTAATGGTTATCCAACTGAGTTGATGTTTGAGTTTAGTCTAATTGCAATTTGTTTTTAAAAAATAAGTGTTTTACTCAGATTTATGAGAACTTTCATATTAAGAATAAGGAATATTTATATTATGAAAATATACAGTTTAACACAATTTTGAGGATTATGCATAGTTGATTATATGAATTGGTTGTATATTATTGCTTATATTAGCAGTATACTTTTATACAGCTCAACAATTAGAATAGCTATTTCAAAAGAATTGATTCTGCGAAAAGGAGGTGTTACATAATATTAATGAATAACTAATTTATACCAGAAAACAATAAATTAATTTTTTAATTAAATCTTTTTCAAATGAAAACTCATACAGAAGTGTCAAGTCAAAGAAGAAAGGGTAGAAGAGCTCAACTCGGTGCACCATCCAACATAAGATATAAATTAATGAGTGCACATTTATCAAAAGATTTAAGAAAAAAATATAATGTTAGAGCATTACCAGTGAGAAAGGATGATGAGGTGACAGTCGTTAGAGGTATGAATAAAATAGTATGGAAAGGCACTCACAAGGGAACAAAGGGAAAGGTTTCATCTGTGTATAGAAAGAGATGGACAATTCAGATTGAGAAATTGACACGAACCAAAGCAAATGGTAGAGTCAATCATAATAATAATAATAGGAATGCCATATCAAATACCAATCAGAGCATCACAATGCATCATCACCAAGCCATACTTAAATGAAGACAGAAAGCAATTGCTTGCAAGAAAGGCATCAGCCAAGGTGTCAACAAAAGGAAAGGGTGAGAAGCACACAACTGAGAGCACAAAGAAAGCTGATTGAGTTTGAGAAAGGTTTTAGAGAAATTAATTATGCATACATAATAATTTAGACATTAAGTTTTATATTTTGCATCATAAATGGCGACTTGGTGATCTGTAATGATCCAGACTAGCTTCTTCTCTCTTTTTGTCCCAATCCACAAGAAATCCTTTAATGTTCATATTGAATTTGTTCAACTCAACATCCTAAAATATAAACTCATATTACATGATGGAATTTGAAGTTGAAAGCATGTTTCCCAGCTCTCTCAATCATCAACTTAGTGGTTTCAGAGATTTAGACTCTTCCTTCCACTCCACTGCTTTCCATTTTATTAGCAATGGAGACATCTTTTCCATAGATATCATATCTGACAATATCAGTTCCTATGATACCTCCAGTTACCTATCCAGTGTGAATGCCTATTCTCATATTCAATTTGTCAAATTGGATCTTCTACCTCACAGACATTATGATATCGACCATCTGAAATCCCATTTTGACAGTGTTAATGGCTTCTTGAATAGGCTAAATAAATGGATATGAGAGAATACATTTCGCTTAGCACTATTAGTGAATCCCATGACAACATAACAATCACCAATAGTGTACATTTTGTAGACATTGTATCTTTGACAAAGTTTATCGAATTCAGTGAAGAGATTTCTCAACATAGTTACGACACCTTCTGGACTCTGCGTATGAGAGTATTCAGTGAAACCTTTGATGTCAGCAAAGAGGAGAGTCACATCATCAAATTCATCTATAAAGTCACTTTTATCATAGATGGAACTGTTCTTCATTTTAAGGTAGGAATGCATGGGCAACAGTTAACTTACAAGGTTGATTTGTTTGACTTTCTTTTCTTCATTGATCTACAAATTGTTGAACATTTGTATCTGCTCACTCATTGCGAGATAGTATCCTAGCAATAGAATGAGCATGCAACAGCAAATATAGAAGATAGCATAATGAGTGATTAAGTCAGTAGATATGTAGAATCCTAAGAATAATCCAAACATGATCATCATATACAGTATTACCTACAGGAAAGAAAACATCTTCATCTAGCAAGACACAATCATTATGTACAGTATTTCGAGTAGACAAATTATTGCTACTTCTCTATTTTCAGTCAGATACGCCTAGAAGAGCACAGTGAAGATAGCGTAAATGAGTAATAGGTAATACATAGTGTTCACTGCTCTGTTTCTATATGCTTTTGACAGGATTGGGAATAGAACAAAGGATAAAATCAGGAAAATTGCCTATTGATAAATATTAAACTATTACTCTCAAGACAAAGATCAATAAATCATGATTAAACAATTTACGAACTATAATTGACAACAGAGTAATTACAAAATAAGTTATCCATAAAAATATCATACCTACTCTAGATTCATCTACATTTTATTCCTTAAGAATTTAATAGAAATTTGATTTTATCTCATTCTCGGGTATATCCAATATAACATTTGGTTTAATTAATTCCAATTCTTTCTCTTCCTATTCATTTGTTATCAAAATAGAATCCTCAGTTACAATTTGCTCATTTGCTTGTGCTGCAATAGTTAATCTCGATCTATTCTCATCTTGAGCTGACCCTCCTTGAGGCATTAAAAATTGAACAGTCTACTGTCCTCTAGGTGAAGCATCAAGTCTATTAGATTTTTGCAAATTGTCCTGGTATATTGAGTTTTGTAATTACGACAAGAACTATCCTTATTTTTTGGTGCCTGAAGTTCTATGCTACCTTAAATCTTTCACCACAAGCTTTGTACAATTTTGCCACAGTTGAAATGCCTTTGGTATTTAATAACCAGCTGGTTTAGTCTTGAAAACTTGATAAGTGTCTATGATTCCTAAACCTTTAGCCTCCTTCTATTTCTTCTAATAGTACTTGATTCCATGTCTGGCCTATTTAAAAGCCTGTTCACTTAATGTTATGGCTCCTGTGTCTCCAGTAGAACCCACTCTGCTTGTCTAATTGACTGGATCGCCTATCAATGAAAATTGTGGTTTATGGTGACCTATCACACCTGCAATGACTCTACCCACATGTATTCCAATCTTCATCTCAATTTGATTACCTTTTCCATACTTTCTCCCCTGCACTTATTACATCATATCGAATGCCATATTGACCAATCTCATAGTCTTCTCTATCCTTGTCACATGAGCTGTCATGTTTTATTCGCATGCTTTAATTCCTGTGGCAGCCATGTATGTATATCCAACAGTTTCAATCTTTTGCACTCCATGTTGAATACACAAATTATCATATAATCTAAACAACGAGTCCAACATCAACACTACATTCTTGCCTTCCTCCTTCATAATGGTATCGAAATCACAGATGTAAGCAAACAATATTGAAACATCATCCTAAGCCTATTACATCGAAAATATTCCTGTCTGGATTTGTTGTCTCACAAATCTAGGCACCAATATGCTCAATATGTCTTGGGCAGCTACATTATCCTGCTCTATTTGGTATTTTGCTAAGTAATCGTTTCTTCTATGTTTTATAGATTTGTAGTAACTGAACAAAAATCTAATTGTGATACTCACAACCAATAGAATCTGAGTGCTGGCTGCATAGACAGACACTCTACTTTGAGAATAGGTACCATTAGAAGTACTGAGATCTGTTGAAATCACAACTATCAGGATCCTTACGATGAGTTGAATCAAATAACAGATGTTATACAACATTATTGGAATCACACTCATGTTCATCGAATTAAATGTACTGAATAGGATCACTATAGTGGCAGATAGAGTTAGGGTCAAATCATCCGATAACCAATCTATCGCCACCTTAATGGCAAATATGATCAGCACTATTATATGTGAGTACGTATAGTATTATAGTTCCATCGCCTGACTACAAGAAAAGAGTATTATAAAAAAGATTATTCCAAATACGACCAAATAGTATGCTCCTGTAAAGACTCGTTTATCTGTCATAAAGAAGTCCGTCAAACAGTATGCTATGTAGTATAACAAAAGGATGCATAAGAAGAGTCTTAAATGCTTCAGGGATTACATCAATTTGTGAGCTAAAAACTTTTATTCCAGAACCAGTTCCTTCATCTCAAGAGTGAGAGGCTTCAATTTCATCTCGGTTACTTTGGTATCACCTGGATTCAACATCTCCTAGATGTATGGTGAAATTGCTGAGCAATCTATGAACACATTTTGTATGATTGATGACACATTACTATTGTTTGATATAAATAATAATTTACACATGTTAATCTAGACACTGACGTAAAATCTCTTAGTTTGTAATCAATTCCCATTCTTAACCAGTTACATTTTAGAATGCAAATTATTAATAAGCATTTGGGAAGTATATCAACTTTATAAAATTATGTAAAAAGTAATTGATAAAGTAGCAACCTATGAGACTAAATACCATGGCAACAATGCTATTGAATCTTGTAAATAACTAATAAGTCAATTCCTAATAATCAAAATTACTGAAATCCCTCCTATAATTGATGAAAACAAACCCTACCAATAACCCAAAAGTCAATAGGAAGGCTATCACCACTATATTCACCTTATTGTAAAAGAGTCTAAACAACACCTTGAGACTCGACACAGTGATTAGTAAATAAATGATTGATGTTGCTACCATTTGAATATCGGATTAGTGACCATCATTTGTCCATGCATAATTAACCATGTAAGTACATGAATAAAATGTATAGGCTGCACAAATGAAGGACTCCAAGAAGCCTTCAATGAGATAAAAGAACCAGAATCTACGAGTTCTGATTTATCCATCAATGTAGAAGGCAGGAAACCTAGCATTCACGATGGGCTGACTTTACTTATCAGCTAAACCAATGACTAGAGCATTGGGAGTGGTGTACAAAAAGATGTATAGAAATACTGTCATTGAATCATGCAATGAAGTGGCCGTGAATTGACAAAACCAATTGAAAAAGAAGAGTGTCATTCCTAAGAAACCAGCACAATAAAACAGATAGATGATCATGGCTGACACTCTTTCACTATGCAATTTGCACTTCTATAATAGGAGCACTTTGATTTCAGATAATGTATTTACGCTTATGTCTCCTGCATTTACTTGAGGGTAAATGTGATTTCTTTTGCTGTTTATGATCTCAATACTGACATTGGCAGCCTACATCATCAAAGCATCGTTGTATCCATCTCCGACACCAAGAACTGTAGGATTGTTAGGAAAGTAATTACGAATTATCAAGCAGGCTAATTCCTTTTATTGCGGATTCATGTTGAATCCTATTACATTCTTACATACACAAGATAAGAATCGGAAATGACTTATCAAATCAGGTGATTCACTTATCAAGGATAAAGAATGCCCGTTGACAACCAGAACAAATTGTAACACCTGTTAATAAGAGGCACCCTCAAAAAGAGTCACACACGATTTAATCATACTTCTGACCATCAAATTCTCATTCTAATGTTTATCTTATTACTTCTCTTGAATTTTCTGTAATTCACTTTAGATCTGTCCTATTGCTGTATTGATCTGTAACCATATCTATTCCTTATCGGTGGCCACTACCCTCAGATATTTTGATGTCTCTGCCATTTCCAGAGATTATGCACAACTGATTGTTTACACTTCCTAATCTCCACTCAATAGCCAAATATTGATATTGCAATCCTTTACTGTTTTGATGAAATCTAGGGCATCGTTTTTCAATTCTTCTTTGAATCCAATCATTCCCATAATATTCAATTCTTTTTCATACTCTAATGCCAATTGTTCAAGCAAGGTATCCTGATTAGTCAAAGAACTATGCAACAAATTAAATTGCTGTTTGTAGTTCTCAGTCTCCTTCTCACTCAGCACTCTGGTAGCATAGATGATCATTCTAATTCCCCTCTATTTGTAATGCTGGATGTAGGAGTCTAACTCCTCTCTTTCCTTATGATTTAATTACAATTTGGTTTTTATTGCTTCGTAGTCTCCTTTACAAATTAATAATGAATTGTTTTTCGATCCTTCCCCACATAGTTAATTGATTTCTTCATACTTTTGTTTCAACTCCAAATCCATCGTCATGGGTGCCTATATAACAACGGAATTAAGATTTCTAGTGTACGTAAATAAATTCAATCCCAATATCTGATACCAAATCGGATTTCCTCTCACCTTGCATAAATACATATCGGGACTATCAAATTTATTGAAATTTTCAAGTGAGTAACCACAAGAACGAGCAAATGTTAATGAGATCTCCTCATTTTTTGAAAAGGATTCATAAGTAATGGAATCAGCCCCAAACACTGGTCTAGCCTCGTGACACAACATCAAGCATTTCAGAAATGCATCATAATACAATGTATTTATATCATCAGTAGACAAGTATTCCTTTTAGGGAGAACTGCTTTTTAATTAATTCACCAATTGAATGAACTCATCATTGTTGTTTCCAGGACTATTTCTAGTTTTCGGCTAAGGCAGAAAGATTCGAGTTTACAAATAATCGGCCAAGGGTTGTTATAGCGAATTCTCCATCATATTTAGCATTGTCATCCTCTTGTTCTAAGGCAAGGCAGTTATCTGACTAAACACAGGATTGTTATTTGAAGTTTTAACACTTTTCAACAATAATTTCCCACTTGGCTGGATATCTGTAGGACTGCTTTTTCTCTCATATTCAAATGGGATCAAATACTCATTGTTATCATTTATGCTAGCGAATTTGACTGGATCCTCATTGTCCTCATGCTTGGCAGATTTTAAATTCAAAGTTGATTGCAATTGGTCATAATTCAAAGTAAATGATAGGGAACCAAACAAAAAGATTATCCAATTTGTAATAAGATGTAGTCAGAGTGCCTGTCTTATCAATTAGCATGTAATCAACATGTCCCAAATCACTCAAGTTGTTAGACGTGTTGATTTTAACATACTTGGTAATATTATCTTCGATTTAATTGATCTCATATTTAAATAACGAAATGAAGTTTACGAAGTCTAATAGTAGATAAAGAGTGGATGGAATTAGTTAGGCATACAGGATTGCCAATTGGAAAACCTTCATTCCATTGGTAGTGTTGTTATCGATCAATAAGGCAAAATTACCTTCATCTGATCTCGCCAACAGTACAATGATTGAAATCAATGTGAAGAAGAGGGACAAGCAAGCCATGAGGAAGGAATAGAAGTTACATTGCTTTTCTTCGAAACTATGCTTCTGTGCATTATAATGACTACTCTGCATAGTTTTGGTATTTTCACCAACGTAGACAACTAAACCGAATAGCCAGGAGGTCTATTTAATCTTTGTGCCTTTGGGGATGAAATTGTCTATGGTTAATTCTTCATTTTTGGGATCCTTCTTTAATTTTAATCTTCCATGGAATCTCTCGGTGTTCCCATTGGGTGCTTCGTATTCCAGTTTTCCAGTTAACATTTTTCTGTATTCTGGAAATTGATTCTTCAATCTTGTTCTTAAGACTATCAGTTGAGTCAAATATGAGGACTTCTTCTTGGTCAAAGTAGATTTGCCATCGTAGTATTGAGTGTCTACCATGCAGATTGCCTCTCTATCTCTCACCTATCCCGTGTCTAATAAGATGATATCTGCAGGCACTATGTCGCCCTTGATCAGGTAGAGAACATCACCAATTTGAATATCACTCCATTTTATGGTTTCTAGTGAACCGTCTTTTGCTCCTCTGGATGTTGTCTACATATTTATTTTATGATCATGACTCTGTCTACGTATGTCCAATATGAATTCCATGAAGACATAAAATATCACACTCAATCCGACAGGGAAGATGGTGATCCATCTATAAAACGGAGATAATGTTGGATCAATCAACATTATTAGGGAAATACCTAAAAGATAGATGTTTCCGAATCTTTCCAATGCAGTGTATAATGTTTTAGGTAAAAAGTTATATAACTAACATTATCATGAACTTTACTCTGTATTTCCGTGTGTTGAATATGTTTTTGTTTTAAGGCACACTCAGCAATTGAACACCTCCTTTATGCAATTCCATCGTTATCAACTGAGAATCGCTCCCATAACAGAAATTCAAACACCCACGGAATCGCCTCAACCATCTCTCTACAATTTAGTGGTGGTTATAATTCATTTTAATTAAATGTAATAATCAAAACCCATTTTCCAAATAGGTGGAACCTTCAACCAAAGAGCTATCGCCATCAAAAAACAAAACTTATAGATGGTAACAAATTAAAATCACTTGTTTTTCAATAAACTTAATCCACCAATCACTTCAACTCAGAATTGATTGTCATAATCATTATGATAAATATTTATTAAACCCTTGGAGATGTTATTAACGATGTTATGTATGAATTTTTGTAAGGTAATCTTAATTCAAATTTACAATTGTCGATGGCAAAGTAGAGACTAATCCCCAGCTTACATTACAATTGGAACTGAATTCAGGGTATGTAACTTTGTGGAGGAAGAGTGTGTTAATGTAATATTGCTTCCAGATAAATGTCATACTTTAATTGCTAAATTGCTAGGTATTATAATCTTTTAGGGAGTTCTTGCCTTTTAATAGTGAATGTTTAGAATTGCTATTTTAAGAATGATATCATTTCTGTTATGTAGCAACGTTGCCATTCACAAGAAATTATCTCCATATATTCATTTATTGGTTGTACTTAGCAGAGAATGTCAAAATTTATTAAATCCTTAAGTTTAATCAAAAAATACTATTAGGTAATTGATTAATGAATGAGAAACTCTAGTATCTCCAAAATTAATAAGAAATCAAGAAATCTAACCAATAAACATGTGGAAACATTAACAATTTAAAAAGTCTAACCACAGTTTGTTAATACAAGTGTAATTATATTGATAATTTAAAGATTGTTTGAAATCTCCAAGATATATATATTCTCACTTAAGGTTAATATAAATAATAAAATAATAATAATATCATTTAGTGTCAGATTATTTTAAAGTAGTCTTTTCTAAATTGTTTTCTGGTTATTGTATTTATTTAGAGGCTGAATCTTCTAATTTTGTTATCTTCTTTATTGGTACTTGTTTCTAGCCTGATTCAAAATATATTGATTATTGCATGGGTATTTGTGGCATTTGCTTAGTTTAATATAATGGTTATGGCTGATGATATGTCTGATATAACACTTATGGTTATCTAGGAGAACTGAGTATTTTTGATTAGGGTGAACTCAATATTTATTGTTGAGGCGCATAGCTTGATTAATAAACAACTTTATTAGGAGACATCTATCGTTTTTCTTGATAAAATGGTATCAAATTGAAGATTTTATCCCTGAATTAATCGATTACTTATTTCAAATCACTCCAACTTGGTCTTTAATTTTCTTCAATTTGTAATAGTTCTCTTACAAAATTAGTTAATAATTATGAATAGTTTAATCTCCTTACTTTTTATAACTTTGAATCAACCAAGCTTTATATTATACATCCATTCTGAAAATCCATGCAATCATATGACTCTTCTAAGAGAAGAACTTCAAGCAAAGTCATCCCAAAAGAGAATACATCACTTTTATATTCATTGTGTTGTGCTTTAAAATTCATGTTTCTATAGTTATCCAATAGGATTGGAGAAAGATAGGCTTTATCCTTAATTAATAGCATTTTCTAAAATCCATTTTACCCTCCAGGAAAATAATTAGATTCTGCCAGTTTTACACTTCCATTCTCATCTAAATAAATATTCTAAGGCTGGATATCTCCATGCACTTACTTCTAGTCTTCCAAAAATGCTAAAGGATCTACAATTTATTATATCAATAGCCAAATATGGGATTCAGGATATCTCTTTACTGGCTGCCTTCTCTTTTTTAACTCACTATCCAATGAATCTGGAAAAAACTCTGAAATCACCATTACTAAACTAGAATCAGAACAAATTGATTATTCATTGCTAGTTCTCACAGCCAATAATTGGACTAAATTAGGGTGCACATAAATTTTCCTCTTCCTCAAATGGTTTGTTATCTATGTTAATTCTGTCTCACTTTTTGCCTATAATTTCTTAATACAAATCATAGAATTATTCTAATTCTAACAGATTATTTACTTAATTGTGGTTGTACAACTTTACTAACCCAAATTAGTTATGATCAGATTCTCTTTCTTTAGAGTAGGAAAGTAAGAACATTTGGTACTATTATGATGTCTTCATTTCATTTGCATCACTCTGGTCTGCTCCCATTAACGAATAAATTAAATTTAAATCATTAAAAAAATGCTTAATTTCAAATATTTTAACTGTAAATTATATCATTAGGTGGATAAAAATGAACAGATTGATATCATTGAAACTCTCTTTTACTTTTTATCCATTGATTTTTAGAATGTTTCAAGTGAATTAAATAGAAATTGGATTAATTTAATAATTCTCCCATCTATATAATAACAATTTGAATTAAGTGATTTTGATTTATGATAATTCACAATTAAAAACTAAACAATATATGGCTGAATAATTAAAAAATACCTATTACAAAATTGGATTATTTTAAATTAATTTTATGTCTATTTTAATTAACTATGCTGTTATTTTAAATAGTCAAATTATTTTAATATAGATGTATGTTTCAACATAAAAGATAATCTCTAATAGGAACTATAGATTAATGGTAGTGATAATACAAAAAAGAACATTTAAGATATTGATACTTATTATTTCTATAAAAATAACATATTCAATAAACTCTGGCCTTTTCATCGAAATCCTATTCAAATTAATTATCATAGATTAAATCTTAACCATTTCCGCTAAAATCCTCATCTTCATAATAAGAAAAAGTAAAGGTACTCGATCCGATTGAAGACTATATATAATAATTGATATATACTGAATAATTTTCGGAATGCACTAACTTTTATTCGCTATTAGAAGTATCAGAATATTCAACATCCATATTTTAACTTCCCTCTTATAGCTATTAATTCCCATTCTATTGGCTATGACCAGAATTATAAATAATTTGATATTTGTTCTGTCGACCCAACAAGTGTTTTTAGATATGTGAGTAAAATCTGTTTTTCACCATATTTTCCTACATTATTACATAATTGTACAGATCTCCCCTTTAAATGGGATGCAACCACACTCCACTTCGCCCCATATTGATTATAATATTTAACGATTTCCTGATCCTCTTGTTCTGTCCAAGGTACAAAATTGAGTGTGGGATCCAATTTATTGAGATATCTTTCTCTTATTTATTTGCCTGTTCTTCCTTAGAAGTGTCTGGCCAACTTAGTCCAATTTTTTCCTTCCTAAGCAACCAGTTACACCAACTTTGTATCTTCCTCTTAATTCCACTTTTGTTTATTCTAAACATTATCATCTAAATAATAACTTGAATAGGGTTAATCCTCCTCCATCTCTGCGAACATTATGAAATATTTCGTTCAGGCATGAATTGAATTATTTTGCTCCAATTTCCCTAATACTCTTAGTACAGTTTTCTTAGACGTTAATCCTCTTCGGGTTGCCAAATTTTCACAACCCTCTTGTCTCCATCTTGTTTCTCCTTTGCTTTGCTAATCTTCTTTTTCAAACCCTTATCTACCTTCTCCTGAGATTTGGAACTATTATAAAACAATATCTATTTCCTCTTACCGAACGCCTTAATGATCTTTCACGTGATAATGATTGCCTCTATTGGCATCCTCCATTTGATAATCGAACTAATTCTCTTAAATGTTGTCTTCTTCGAAACTACTCTTTTTTTATTATTTTTCTTCATTTAATTGTAGATAGTTATCCGTAGGTGATCCAATCGATGATGCAGGCTTAGACTCTTGAAAATTTCAATAATTTTTGCTACTTATCATTTCATTCATAGCGGTTTTGCCAATATCCAACTCAATCCGTCTTTGCTCCAAAAATTGTTCCTCCTAACTTTTATTGCTATTTTATGATTTTGTATCCTTTTCGTCTCTCTGCCGTTTCGAGCAGCAAAAATTAAATACAAGATCTAGAAACATCTCCTTGATCCTTTACTTGTTATTTAATAATTTATTAATAACTTGATTCTCACTAATTATATATAGTCGTTCTCTTAAATAATTTGTATTGATTGCTATATTTAAATTTTATTAACATACAATTTCCATTAATTAAAGCACTAATTATATACAATTATATATATCATGCTCCATCAATATAATTTATTTGAGAATTAAACCATTCAATCAAAAAACACACAAGAAAACAAATTTGCCAATCAAAACACTCCACTCAATGAAAATCCCTTGCAGAATTTGCCTTACTTGATTTGCCAGTCAATGATCACATTTCTGGATAATTAGTGGAAATCTCTTTTCCAAAACTTACGAGACTAAATTCCTTAAAAACACTTTGTAATAGGAAAACATCAATAATTACTTGGCTCTTAAGAAGGTTGCAGTAATATAAGTGATAAATATAATCAAATGAACATTACTAATCAGAATCACTTTTGCTCAATTCATCATGTTATTGTCAACAGTATAATATTTGTGCATTAATTGAAATGATAACATCAGTACCTAAGTATTAAGACCATATCCTTGGCATTAAGACTAAAAATGCAATACTTTTTTTTCATTAATAAGAATAGATTAATCTAAGGTTTTATCTAAATCTTGCTCCAAAAGCGTACTACTTAGATAATCACGAGAATCTCATACTTAATTCATGTGTGAATAAGTTTTATTCTCAGAAACGAAGAAGTAAATTCTTTTATTTCTATTATCACCAGATCGATAAAAAGAATTTAAGAAGTTCATTAATAATCTGAATTGCAATTAATGTACTGATTTTGAATAGTTTAAAATATAGTACTACCCAGAATGGGATGCTTGGATCTAGTAGATATGAATGCGGGTGGGAGTAGGAACAGGAAGGACAACGAAAGTAAAGAGATTGCTAATTCCCTTGAAGGGCAGAGACAATTTGAAATAAGAATGAAAATTTAGATTATATAGATAAAATTGTTTTGTGAAAAATTAGGAAGAAGGTGCCAATTTATTCAAAGGATGAAAATATTGATTTATTTTATTAGAGCAATAAAGAAGATGATAGTTTCTTTATTGTAATTTAAAAGAGATAATTGATATTTTAATTAATCAAAATTTTAATATTTTAAATTAGGTCGTGTGTAAGTTGCAGAGGAATGAAATAAATTGAAATTTGTTAAGAATTTAAGAAGGGAGAATAAGCAAAACATATTTTTTTAAATTAATTCGCTAACCTAAAAGTATCACCTCGTTCTATAATTTCAATGTAAAATAATTATTAATTTTGATAATTTCAATATTATTCCTTTAAATTCGTCATGTCGTTATGCTGCCTTTTTATGATATCATATAACTTATATAAGTCTTTTTGAATATGATCGACTTCATTTGTGTATCTGCTGAGTTTTTCTAGGAATACTGAATAATTTAGTTATACTTTAAATCGGATGAACTTCTTGATAGATGGCATTAGAGAGTTGGCTGATGAATTTTTATTGCAAGACTGGGGTCACTCCATTGTGAGCACAGGACATCGAATGAGGTTACTGTTTCCTGATACTGATTTTTCCAGAACATGCGTCAATTAAAACAAAGACATTATTGCAGAGTATTTTTCGCTTTCTCTTTCTTTGGGTGGAGAAAAAGTTAGCTGAGTCATTGAAGTAATTTCTGAGGATATGTTTTGCAGATGAATATTTAACCTTATGGAGAATAGCTGCCTAAAATAATTAATTATTGTAATTGTTCATTACCTAATAAATGGGAAGGCGATCATTAACCACACTCAATATAAGCTTTGTTTTTATCTCTTAATCAATAGCTTTTCTTTACTTAGTTTTATCCTTTGTCTATTCAAAGATAGGAACAGGATTTTATTCCATTTTCAGCAGTATTAAGAGTTATTAAAAATACTCTGTACATTAAAGATTGAGTTATAGTTATATATATAATAAGATCGTAGATGAGAAGAGATTTTAGAATCATTCAAAATTAGATATTAAATATTCAAGGAAAATTTGGTCAAATTTTGGATAAATAAACAGGGATTATTTCATTTTTGAAAAGGTGTTTTAATTTTGTTCCTTAACTAAACATTTTGGGACAAGAATAATTTTTTAAATTAATCGATTGAATAATAAATTTCAAAATCAACTCACTTCATCCTAAAAACATTCAAATATTAGTTCTCCCTACTCATTCTCATATTCCCTGATCCTGTCCTCCGTTTTTAATTCATTCAACTCCACCGTTTCCGAATTATCAAGAGATGTATCTTTTGGATGAAACATATGAGCACACAAATCCAACACTGTTTTTTTGTCTATCTCCGCTGCTTCATTCTCTATTCAAATCATATTGATAATTCGGTACCTGTATTGATTACACTGTAATACTCAACGAATTCGCTGATTCTCTCCACGAATCTGCACTCTTCCATCTGCTTGGCAAAGTTCTCCTTACTCAAATACGACAGACAAATTAGGACATGCATCAGTACACTTACTTAAATCTATTCCTTCATGAACTTTAAGAGTTATTCCATAACCTAATGAGCAAATCTCCCTTGTTTTTCAAGATGTTGTAATGTGTATGGAGTGTGAATAACATTCGCCAATGTGGCAGATGCAAAATCAAGACAAAATATATGAATTTTTGTATTTATTGATTTTTGTATTAATAAGATGATCCATTAAATCATTTCATTATGAACATATGTTGGTATTACAGTATCTTTAATACTAGCTTTTTGTAGAATTGCTAAACAGAATCTTTAAGTAACAGAACCATTCTCTTATTCCTTTAAAATTTTAATGATTTTCTCGATAATAATCATATTCCCATTATATGTGAGATATTCCACTCCTCTCAAAGTGCTACTGATGACACTAATCAAACTTGTAATGGCGTGTCTCAGACTCTGATTATTGATATCCAATAAATGAACCACAAAATCAAATTTCTCTGTTGCCTCAATATTGAATACATCATTTCTAATCAATTCATAGACCAGATTCTTCCTCAACTCAGGTGCTATCTGTAATGCATTGACTCTTAGAGACAATAAGACCTCAATCATTCCATCTACATGCTTATCTTGAAAGTTCTTAAACAATTTGGTCTTGTGTTCATGCATAACTTATTCAGTAATCAATTCAGTTCCTTCTGGTTTACCTTCATTGATGATCACTTTATGATATTTCCCCAATTAAATTTTGTAATTCTCCAAGGTTTCACTTAGGTTCTCATTCTTGGCTGTTTCCTTGAGTGAATGCAACAATTAGAGCAGATTGATACTCACAGAGAAGATCTGTCTTCCAGCCTATAGGATTTGTTGATATTTTTTATTGAAGGCCTTTTATTCCTTCTCCAAATTGATTTCTCTTTTAGTTTTCGTATTGTCACTCTTAAACAATTGAAATAGTCTTGGAGCCTCATCCCCTATTTGCTTCTGCTGCTATTATTTATTAAGCATCTAAAAGGAAGAATTAAGCAGATGAATACTTTATTGGAAACTTATTTGCTCTTGATTTCCGCTTCAAAACATTCAAGTGTGTTAGCGAAAGAGGAATATCGAAGATACTCTTTGATGTATTCGTTGATTTCATTTTGATCAGGTTGAATAGAATTGGGCAAATTTGAATTTGCAGATTTCATTAATATAAAAATATCAATACATACACAATTTCTTGGGTTTACTAAATAATACACTAAGTTAATTTGAATAATATTATATTCAAGATTTGTCTTTAGACAGCTATTACATCTTATTTAAAGATTCCAACAACTCTTTATTAGTCTGAGACTCAGTATTGGGACCCAATAGTTTTTGCTTTTCCTTGTTCAGTAAATCATCGAAGTCACGATCATCTTCATCATCATCATCCTATGGATCCTCCTTTAAGATTTTCTTCTTCCTTATGGCTTCAATGAATTCAATTTCCGCTTGCTAAACTTCACTCTTCTTGTTCACTGGTCTCAAATATGAAGCATCGCCATCCTGATCCAACACTTCATTGTCACTCTCTATCTCGCCCACATGTGCCATTTCAGCTACATTTAATTGATTGTTTTTGATTTAATGAGCCTTACCCATTTCTGTTTTAACATTGATCATATTTTGTGAATTTTAAGAATACGAATAATTGTGGAAACTCATCATCCCTGATTGATCTCCAGCCTTTTGATTCTTATTGATCTGAAGTTTTTGATCCCTTGACAATTACTGTGAATGCAGACTCTATTATGAAATGTCTAAATCATTGACTTCTTTGTCGATGATATTTAAGATCTTTTCATCATCATTGCTCTTAGATTAATTAACTTACTACGGATCCAATTAAATAATGCTCTGCTCCTTTTGAACAAACCTCATCTATTTCAACTCTTCCAATTCAGCAATCAACTTTTTTTATTATATGATTTGTGCTTGTTGTTATGATCCCACCATATTGTTCAACTTAACCATCTCTTATACCTTCTATTCAATTAAGACTTTCATTTAATTTTAGAATTGCTTCATTTATTCTTCCTGTTACAATATTCTTTTTTACCTCTCATCTCTATCGTTTTCTCTTTTGATTTTTCTTTCTTCCTTTCTCTTTTGTTTTTGCTCCATCTTCTCTATTTGTTATTACTTTAATTGCTAAAATCCAGCACTTCCAATCATCAAGGGATCAGGCATGGATTACATGGTGTTACCAAATTGTTGCTGTTTCATGAAACTTTGTTGTGTGTTCGCCATTGATTGTTATTATTGAGTTTATTGTTATTACAACTATTATAACATCGAGCCCAAGTATTCTGGATTAGTTATGTCATCCTTTTACTTCTCCACATGTTTGTTATCGATGTGTTTGAGCAATTCTTGTTTGGAAGTATAACATTTGTCACAATGATGACATTTGAATATGATATTCTTGACTGCTTGTTCTTTGACCTTCTTGGCTTCTGCCTTTAAGAGTTCAAGTTCCTTATTAATTGTATTTTACTTATCGATATGTTATTTTTCGATTTCTTTCAGCTTCTCTAATTATTCCTGTTTGTTTCTCAAGACTTGCACCTTTTCATCTATTTCTATTTCTTTTTACTCTTGATTTTGAGTATAGAAATCCATAGCGAATTGGCAGACCTCCAACATTTTCTTGAATTGTCGAAATTCCATGTTTCTTATAGTATCTGAGGTGAAGTTGGATTGCACAAAGTTTTTGAGAAATGGACCACATTGAGCTATATCCCTAGGGAATAGAGAGATATGATGAATTACAGATTTGCCTGAACGTAATCCCAATTGAGATTGTCTAAAAGTAGTGGGTTGAATTATTCGGATTGGGGAAGTTCAAAAGAAAATGGTTTAATGAGGTGTTTAATTGCACTGTTATTTTATTGCATATATATATTAATGTAAATGAGGGGTGAGCAAAGTTGTGGAAAAGGGAGGAGGAGGAGAAATAAAATTGAGGACCAAAAAACACTCTCACTTGAGGAAAGTTTATAAAAAAAAATGTGCATATTATAATATATTAGTAATTAAGTTAATAGCACTTCTTTTGGATTCACAGTTTTAAATTATTTGAAATAATTCACAGACATACTTAATGGCCAGTGAGGAGGAAGTCAACATTGAAGATGAAATTATTGAGGAATCATAAGTAGAAGACAATCCAAAAAAGAAGAAGGACAAGAAAGATAACAAAATAGCTATGAAACAAGACTAGAAAAAGCCAATTGATGGCAAATAGCAATTCGGTGACAAATCTATATGTCGATTATGCAAAGTGACTACTCAATCCACTCCAACTATAATCTGTATAAGGTGTCACTTTAAATACCACAAGGAATGCATACGAACTTAAAACAAAGAGCCGCAATTCCAGGACGGCTCCAAATGGTACTGTCTCTCGTGTGTCGAGAGAATGGCCAAGAGAAAATTGAAAGAGTCGGAACCATAGAAAAAGAAGAAAACTAGCCAAATCCCTGAAATCTTTCAGAAAACCCTCTAACCACAGGAAGATAAATTGAAAAAACACACTGAATTTCAATAAAAATATCCGACCTATGTCCAATAAGGAAGAGTAATTTTTCCCATATTTGATGAATATCTGACAGCATACCAATAATTGTTTACCATTGAAATCAAAAAGAAGCCACAACTCCAACTTGATCCCACTCTTCCCTAGAACCTCTTCGAAGACGTCCTTAAAATATGGGACACCTACAATTATATGGACAAAATTGTGAGCGACATCCTCTACGCAGGAGAACAGCAAACCGAACGTATCACTATTGATTTATATAACAAGAGTAAAGCCAAGTCAATAACATTGGCACCCTCATTCATTTCAGAGACAACCACACCCCCTATAGTTAAAAAACTAGGTCCGAAATATATAATCTCATCAAAACCAAACCTGATGAATTGATCCTCTTCTTCTGCTACTTCTATCTCAAACAAATTATTGAGGATTTGGATTAGGAATAGATGCAAAAACAATCCTACGTAACTCATATCAAAATATAACCATAGAAAATCCCATATTGGCACCTTCTCGGATACATGTGGTTCACCAATCGAGTTCGATATTACGAGTTATTGAGAGATGACATCAAGTCACTCCCCACCAATATCTATAAATAGGGAATATTACATTTGGCACAAGATTTGATAGACTTTGGTGATTACACTGACATCAAAAAAGTGTGTAAATTGCTTATAGCCTTGTCTGATGGGTTAACAGGCCTAAAGAAAACTTAGTTTCTGTATCAATTCAGAACTGAAAATCTCCTGTCCAATAACAGAATCAAGCAACAATTGGGAACACAAATAAAATAACAAAGAAGTCAGTAAATTGATATCAACAAAGAAATCATAGAAGCTGAAGGCAATTTTTCAATAGCCCAAGTATTCTCTCTTATGTTATTTCGTAGTCTCAACTCCAACAAGATGGTTTGACTAGAGTCGAAACGCAGAAGTTTACAAAATCAATGGAACAAGCCTAAAAATAGGCACTAAAATTAAAATAATAGTACTCAAAATTAGAAAAAGAAATAGCATCTTTAACAGAAAGATATAACCAACAAGACAAGGTATAATAGCATACAATTCTTATTAGGAATTGGCCATCACTTAAATGCCAGCCTTATTGTTAAATCCATCTATGTGCTTAGGTCAGGATGCCAAACACAGTTCATATTACTTCTTTCTATATGAGCCTGATAAAATCTTTGTTTGTATGAGACATTCTATCATTGATGACGATGGATCATAACAATAATGGGGCTTTTATGATTAGACTGAAATACAAAATCTACTTAATTCATTATGTCCAAAAGGGGTTCGAGAGAACACTCTGAAAAATAACATTATTGAATTGTAAAGGGCCAAGTTGATATAAATCAATGAGTTAAATTAGGAGTAGAGTGATTAAATCGAATAGGAAAATCATAAGAATGGTAAAAGAGTAGATATTGAGTAGGAGGGTCACAATTAAAGTGAGGAACAAATTGAAAGGATGAATAGTTTAATCAATTTAGATGTGGATGAGCTTGTCAATGAATTTATTGAAATCGAATCAAGTTTGACACAATATTTAAATTAGAAAAATTCAAGGTGGTGCAGTACTGAACAAAGGACTGGATTCTTGAAGAATTTTTAGAATGTTATGGAAAAAAAGAATTCCCAAGAGTACGATGAAATTGATCTGTAACCTTTGGGAAAAGCCATCGAATACTTTGTGGATAACACAATGATGCAAGAGAAGTTGGAACTCAGATTAGAGGAAGAGATGGATGATAAATAATTCAATGAAAATGACGAGGATTCCTATTAACCAAACAGAAGGAGAAAGGTTGTTGAAGATGATTCCTCTGTTGATGAGTAGCCCTAAACCATGTTGCAATAATTAGAATAGATGGATACTGGGAGAGTGAGAGTTCGAAAGTTGCCTATGAAGTTGTTTGGTACCTACTATGAGACTCTCCGGTAGAATCTAATAGAACAATTGAAATTTGATTGTAACTTAGCCAAAATGAAGATTTGTTTAGAAGTGTTGGGGTAGATAGTTAAAGATTACATTGACAGAAAAAAGATTTAAATTCAATAATAAATTTTACCTGTGGGGGAAAAGAAGAAAGTGGAAGAAATCATCATTAAAAAGAACGTTGAACCTCAACCCCAATTTGTTCAGGAGTCACAATTGTAAGTGACTAAAAATTTAAGAAAGAGAAATCAAGTGAAACCTTAGTATACTGAGACGGAGACTAAGTGGGAAGACAGGTGTAAGAAATGCAACAAAGGGGGCAAAGTCATCTGTTGTGATACTTGCCCTAAAGTATTCCATCCAAAATGTATCAACTTAAAGGAGGTTCCGTAAGGGAAGTGGAACTGTCTTAATTGCTTAAGAAATTTTGAGAGACAAATCAAAACAAGAGCTACTATTAGAAAGTTGGAAAACCAATGAGACAATGATCCATTGTTTTTATTATTAAATAATGATTTGTGATTTAGTTGATTATACTCTAAGAACAACTCCAAATAAAGGAAGATTTTCATAGACAAACACAACAGCATCCCCAAACAGTTCAAGCAATTCTTCTTTTGAGGCATCCCAACTGAAAATTCCGAGACCTTTGTTGAGTTTCGATGAAAAATTTGAAGCATCTCTTTGTGCTTTTGGTAATTGGTTTATAATCCATTTTAGAGTTTAAATTATTAGTCCCTGAAGAAGATGGCTTAATAAATTTTGAACAGTTCAGTTAAGAATTGATATAAGAGAAACTTATATTCTTGAATGATGATAAATATTTATAATAGTAATAGGCATCCTTAGAGATCGCTGAAGAGAATGTATAGCTTTTCATTAAAAAACATAGATTCTCAAGGATGATAGAACCACTTTGATGCTCAAAAATATACCCAGGAGCATGAAGCCTACCGATTTGAGAAATATTTTAAATAAAGAATTCCGTAATCTCTATGACTTTTTCTATTTGCCCTTGGATAACAATGTATTTCTAATTTTATAATTGAAGAATGAAGGCCATTTGGGATATGCTTTTGTTAATTTCATAAACCAGGATGTGGTATTAAGGTTTTATAGAACATTTAATAATTAGAAATGGTCAAACACAGAGAAAGTATTTCTAAATTTCATTAATTGTAGTAAATTTGCCAATTGAAATATGCTAAATTATAAGGAAGAAGGCAATATGAATTCGCAAGATGATTGAGCTTCAATAGCTATTTTTGTGTATTTTTTTTCAAATTTTTTGATTTAAATACTTTCAGGGATAATATGGAGCTAATAGTTTTTAATTATATAAATCATTTGAGTCTAACAAAGAATACACATCTGAATTCGCCAAAATTTGTTCAAAGTTCTTCACCTTTTTCATTCTGTTCTAAGGATTTTTAGTCAATAATTATTTAATTAATGTTTGCACAGACCTAAGCATAATTACAATACTAACTTGTCAATGCTGAATGGGAACTCCAGTTTCTCATTCAAAATAGCCTAGTACACTTCGTAGGGAGTCTTGCCCTTAAAAGGCAATTCACCAGTTGAGAACTCATACAATAACACTCCGAAACTCCAATAATCCACACTATGATTGTAGCCTTAACCCTTTATCGCCTCTGGAGCTATAAACCCTGGACTTCCACATAGCGTAGTGGTCTTTTAAGATTGCTTAACCAATTTACTCAAATCGAAATCCACCAATTTCAGATAGCCATTCTTCATGAGCAACAGGTTTTCAGACTTCAAGTCTCTATAAATGATATCATTCTTGTGGAGGTAATCCAAAGCCAATAGGACTTATGCAGAATAAAATGAGATGGCTTCCATTTCCAATTGATGATTTCGAATATACTTATAAAGCGATTATTCATGCAATAATTCCATTAAATAATAAGCAGTGTTGCTATTGATTTCATATTGGAACACCTTAACAATATTTGGGTGGTTTAGTTGTTATAATCTTTAAAATAGCTTTTCCGAAAATAAATTTAATGAAATCTATTTAGCTGCATAATTCTTCTAATCCCTGTAATTTATAACCTCAACAACTTATCCCTATTCTCCCTCTCCTAACTTTCTGACAAAGCCATAGCCACTCATATTAAATATTATATCAAATAATTCCACTTCTTTACTTCAAAAAAATGCTATAAACTAACTCAAATTATAAGTCACTTTTGGGAAATCCTTATTTAAATTAAATAAATAATTTAACAAAAGAAATAGTAAAACCAATTTTATAATAACTCATTTTATATCCCTCAAAATAAGCTTGTATGCTTTGATATATATATTCCTTAACAATCGATTTCTTTTCTTTATATTATTTTTAGTTCTTTATTTAGAAATTAGATGTATTCAGAAAATAAGTGATTTTCTAATGATATTTGTTAGATAGAACTCTACAGTCACCTTTAATTTATGATGTATCTGTCTCTTATAAAACAATTTGTTTTGATTTTACATAGATTACTTTAGTCATTAATAAAATCAGTCTTAATCAGTCTCCATTCTCGATAGAGTTATTATTTTGAGATATTGAACATCATTATTAACTCATTAAATTCAATTATGGACTGTTTGCTCCTCACTTTTTTGAAACTATTATCTGAAATCTCAAGATGTTGATAAATAGAGAAAAAATTTATATTTTCATAAAAAGGCAATTTACTAACTGTATTCCATCACTACTTGGGATTTCAACATTATACTGTTTCAACTTTTTGATTTATTGATATTTCAATTGATTTATTTAATCAATCCAATTTTTAAAATGATCCCCAATTATAATCCTTGTGTATAATTTATTCTTTTTTCTTGAGGTAAATATTATTTTGAAAAGATGTTCTGACCACTTTATTTATGACTTTTAATTAGATCTAGTTGATGTTGTGTAATTAATTTGACTCTTTCTTTATATAAATCTCTAGTTCCTTTAATTTCCTATCAATCTACCTATAAAATCACAATTCCTGGTTATTTCAAAATAGATTTAAAATAAAACAAAAGATTGTTGTAAATCCTAATCTTGAGTTCATACCTTAACTTCAAATTTTGTAGTAAAAGGGTATTCAGCTTAATAAAGATGTGCTACGTTTATCATTAATCAAGATTTCGATCTATTTATTTATCTGTTATCCTCCTTATCCAGGCTAATTAACTCTGATAAATATAATTATTAATAAAAGAGAGCAGAATCAAAAGGGGAGTCGAGAATAAAGTTAAATATAATTCAAAATATTTGCTCCAATTTGATCTTCAAATCTGCTTAGGAGATGGTTCTTTTTAATTGATATTTCTCTTTATATTCGTTTTATAAAGGAGGCAATTTCCATTCGTTCCTTTCCTTTTTTTCATTACTCCTAATTCTGGCTTGCAGTATTTTATTATACTCATCTATGGTGCTAACTTGATGGACAGTGGGATAGATGAATTCTGGGAGACTGTAATCGCATTTTTTGGAAGATTATTCCATGGGAGGTAGTTTCTCTCGATCTTTGAAGGAGGTATTCCTGAAAATGCGTTGTCGCTTGAAATGCAGTTGATCTTGTTGTCTGAGGGCTTGATTTCCAAGTTTCTTATAAAGATTAAAATATTTATCTCGAATAAAATATTGACTATTCAACTTCCATTTTTCTAGTTATTAATCCATTTTTATATAAAAATAATTAATATATGGATCCTTTGCCATAATTCGCAGGAGATGATTAATAAATAACTTATCTATTCGCATGGGGACGCAACAAAGATGGAGAATTGTCCATTGTAAAAATGAGTGTCATTAATGTGATTAGGGCAATCAAAAGAAGTGTAATGCTCCTAAGGCAGTGCAAGGGTTGAAGAATCAGACAGTGCAGTTGATTAGTTCAGGTTCCAACCATTCAGGAATAGTAACCCAAGATGGTTAACTCTTTATTTGTGGATCTGCATTACACGGTTTGCAATTCAAATTTAAAAAATATTTTAGGTAAACTTGGTTTTGAAGATGCCAATCAACCATCCTACCCTAAGTTCTTACTCGTCCAGGCCATGAAAGGATTGTTTGTAACTCAGGTGGCCACAGGAGATTATCATACCTTGTGTTTATTGGACAATGGATAGGTTTATGCATGGGGAGGCACTCTTCACAAAAAGCTAGGTTCTAAGGCAGGCAAACCAGCCAGGATTGAAACCTTGAAACAAACCATTGTGTAGATTGGGTGCGGTGATTTTCATAGTGCAGCCTTGAGTGCTAATGGAGATCTATATACTTGGGGAGGAGGAGGCAGAGATTATAACCGAGGTTAATTGGGTCATGGTCATTTAAATGATGTGGAGACACCCTAAATAGTAAAGGACAATATAGTTAAATTCAGTTGTGGAGGTTATCATATGATGGCATTGGATAAGGATGGAGAATTGTGGTCTTGGGGTTCTGGGATGTATGGAGAAACTGGTCAAGGCGAATTCTAAGATAGTTTATTACCCAAAAAGGTGAAAATCAATTTCAATTAAAAACACATCATCATCGACGATATCTTTGTCTAGAATAAATAAGGTATACTAAAAAGTATTAATGTAGAATCAACCATCAAGGAGATTAGTCTAGGTGGACATCACAGTTTGTTGTTGTCGAATAAAGGAATTGTTTATGCTTGTGGATATGCTCAACATGGACAATTGGGAATTAAAGCTACTGAAAATTAAAACAAATTCTAATTAGTTATTGGAATATCTGGAAAGACAATAGTGTAGATTGCAGCTGGATGGAACCATTCAATTGTGTTGACAAGTCATTCTGATGTTTATACTTGTGGACACAATTAGGCAGGACAACTTGGAGTTGGGGATTATGAAAGCAGGACTTAATACACGAGAATTAACTTTTTGGAATAAAGAAGAATTAAATAATTATTTGCAGGTGGCAATCATTCTTGGGCATTAATTGATTATAATTAACCTAGGATTGATGATTATTCACCACCCTCGCCTTTAAATGAAGAGGTAAAAATTGAAAACTTTACTTAACCTCTTGATCAAGGTCTTTAAGATTTGGAGATAGTGATTACTGAAGTGAAATTGCATCATAGATTCGTCAAGATTTAGGTTCCTGCTTAATTTTAGACTACAATTCAAGCCAAGATTAATGATTACTTGAACTTTATGCAGAAAGACCCTAATACAAAGTTGAGTAAATTTTAGAATGATGCTCTTGCCTTGGGAGTCAAAGAAGATAATAACAAGTATTCGTTTTCTGTATCTATTTAGATTGTCATTTACTATAATGATGATTATGGATCTGTCTTAATATAAAATGCCATTTGAGGAGTTGGATGAGGGCAAGGTGAATCAGATTGGCAAGCAGTTTGTTGTGAAGAGAAGTGCTTTCAATAAAAACCCTATTTACGATTGGATTGCACAGGCGGAGAAGATTATGAATATTCCAGGCATCCAAATCAAATTCTTGGAACTTAGACCATAGCAATGATACTTATGAATAGATAAACTGTATTATAATCTTTACATTAATGTTTCCAGATAATTTATTATTAAATAAATTTTAACAGAATGGGGTAATCTTCATCTCAGAATTTGCAGCAATCTAGAATGCAAGTGCCTAAGATCAATGAATTATAATTTTGGAGACAAGTGAACGATATCAGATATGGAGAAATCAAAGTGTATAAATTGAATGACGGACACGCTGTTGCTGTTAAGGATCACATTTTATAGGATGAGGAATAATGGTTGAGATTCAAACAATCAGCCGAAATGAATATGACTTCGAGAGATAAGAATTTGTTCCTAATCTAAATGATCGATTTGTAACATGTCACAGAAAAGGAATTATGTACCTAGATGACTTAAGCACATAGTGTATACGAATACTTTGATGAATATTTGGAAAGAGTGATCACTGAACAGAGTGCCACCAAATAACATTTTGAAGAAATTGAAATCGCTGCTATGATTCATTGCACTGTATAATCCTCTTATTATCACCTAGTTGATGGCATTATAAAAATTAACTAAACAATAAAAGTCTCACGGAGACATCCGTCCACTTACAATTAGTGTCACCTCATTTCCCAAGAAGAGTCCTCATCGACAAAATGAACCTCTCCCTGTTTACAAACTGACTGACATCTAGGAATTGACTGATATGAATGCATTCAGAAGGTGTGTGGCCAAACAACATGCTCAATATAACCTAAGTCCTGAATAATTAACATTTCTGAAACAAAGAGTGCTTAGACCAACTTATGATTTAGACAAATCCGATGTCTTTAGTATTGGATTGACTGCACTACAAATGGCCACTCTCAATAGTATTTATGACATCTATGATAACTCCAATTATCTCATCACCACCGATAAATTAGATGGCTATATAAGAGAGATGAAAACACTCTATAGTGAATAATTGTGTTCTATAGTATGTCAGCTATTGCAATTAGCTCCTGAAAATAGACCAAATTCTTATTAAGCCAACGACCTATTAATAGGATTCAGATATCAATTGGAAGACTATTTTAGAGTACACTATTAGAATATTAACTTAGTAATCCACAATCAAGGAACATCTACCAAACTATTCCATTGAATTCAGACAAACCAACAAACTGCCCAATAGAGTTGAAGAACATCAAATAGCTCAAAGCAAACTGGTAGACACCAGTGATGTTTATGAACAAATGGAGATCCTAGAATAAAGAGCCAAAGTGGCTTTGTAAAGGAGTCAAGATGCCTAAGTTAGGTATCAAAGAACACCTGGCAAGAGAATTAAATCCACTCAATGGGAACCCACCAACAGTTATTAAATATACAACAATCTCACTCCCATAACATAGAAGGAATTGTAATTGCAATTAAGTGAATACAAGTAAGAAATTCAATCAAACAAACAATCCACCTATTCTTATAACAATAATGCACCTCAGTATTTGAAGAAGGAAGTGAATTCCTTTCATAATCATCAAGATCAAGAGGAATACGAGTACAATCAATAAGAAATAGATGAAAAGCCCAATCAAAGTGTTTTAGAACAAATTGAGTTGGCAAACTCGAATTAAAAAGTGCATTCACAACGACCTATTAATAATAACACTGCCTCATTTTCTCATTAACAATTATTCGAATCTATCAATACCGAATAGGCCAAACCCTATAATCAGACTTACAACAACTATCAATAGTATTCTCAGTAGTCCATAAAATAATATGAACAATAATAACAAAGCTATCAATAATAACCGAGACAATCGCAATTAATGAGGGATTAATAAATATAAAAACAATTAACTGGTTAATATGAGATAAAACAACCAATAAGCAATGACAATTATTATAACTAATAATCACAAATTCCAAGATCACCTGAACCTTAAAACATCTATCCCACAATGGAATATTAGCATCAAACAATGAATGAATATCAATAGTAAAGATTTAATCATTAGATAACAGAGTCCTTCGATTCCTAGTAATCTAGTCATAGCAAATAATAAGTGTAGGTTGTACAAGAACAATAATCCGCTACAAGATAACAGAGACCAAATATTTAGAGATAATTGACAGGATCAATAGTGGAGACAAGAAAATCGATTAAATAGTGATTAATTATAATGATAATAAATATTGTCATTAGTTGATAGTATTTTTTCTATTATTTTCAAAAATCATTTGGAAGACCATGCAATCTTTCCAAATAATCCATTACTGGAGTAGATAAGGCTGCTTGCACAATAAATTGTGAGAGTCTCAACTACCAGCCAGCATAGTATCCCTTTAATCCCTTATCCTAGTACACCTTGACAAAGGCTTAGGGGATGGTTAATGACTTGTAATTTGCATTGTTTTCCATTTGATACGCAGTTTTGACTACGTCGAATGGTTGAACAAACAAAATGTTTGGAATGGCTGTCAACAAACTACACATTCCAATTTGTTATAAGGTGAGAGCCTGACTTGGACTATCCTTAAAGAGGTATCTGATTTTGTGATCCCAATATAAATAATTGGTCCAAGAAACTACTTATTTCAACATCATGGCTTCCATTCCAGTATAAATATTTTTGACAAAATGAGAAAATTGATGTTCATTTCTCCACAATTATTTAATGACTAGAAAAGATAAATTAAAGTTAGATACTTGATTTGGATTCGTATTGGGTCATTAATTGACACTTAACTCTTTCCATAGGACAGGTGACGAGGGATTCAAAAATGGCAATTGTGGCACCAGCCAATCCTTTGTGTAATGCTGGATGGTTCTGGATCCAGGATGATGGTAGGAGTTCTTTATAATATTTTGGAATTAAGATCATCATGGGCCATCTAAAAATAGAGATATAATTAAACTATTTACCTATAATATTGTTTAAAGAGTTGAATGCTTATTTGGGATGAGAATCCAGCAAATACACCTTTTAGCATTCCATTTCGTCTGTAAGTTTCCTTGAATAATTGTCGAATTGAGGATTGCGTATTTCAGCCTGTACTAAAGTTTTGAATCTATCAAAAACATGGTCTATGGGTAATCCAAGAATGACTCTGGAAAGCCCAATTATTTGAGTTTCAATGATTGGTTTGAGGTATTTCTTAGTCCTAACTTTATAAATGGATTCAGACATCTTAATTATTTAATTATTATTTCAATAAGACGATGAAATTTATGTTAAATAATACATAAATTTATGAATTTAATACGCACTATATATCATAAATAGAAGTTATTAATCATTAATTCATAAGCAAATGATGCAATATTGTTTCAAATTCATACTTTATAATTAGATATTAAAATCATTTTATAATATTGTTCCTTCAAACTCTGTTTAAATTTCTCAAATTTCCAGCACTTACAAAACCCTAATATAAACATTCCCATCAAATATCCCTCTTGGCTTGTTCATCCACTTAAAGATTACATTACTCAACCATTATAAATGAGAATCATAAGATTCATATCTGTTAACTCCAAAGCTTAGTGTTAATATATGAAATATAAATTTAGATTTTGAACTTCTCAAATATTTGACATAAAATGATAGAACTGAATTTGGAGTGACTAATAACTTGGATGTATTGAGATGGGGTATAATACTGAAAGATAATATAAATTAGAACTGAATAAAATATTGTTTATTAATAATAATTATTATAAAATGAAATATCACAACTCAAACAATAAAACTATGATTCGAACATTGATTTCTTGCTTCTGCCTTATTTTATATATTTATTTATATTGCATCTGGTAATGTAAGAACAACTTAAAATTCAAAAGGATTTCATAAGTATTATTTAGGATTTAATATTAGGTGAACAGTTTAAACTGGGCCGATTTTTGATTAATTGATAAATCAAGAAATATCGACAATATTAATTATAAATGGACAAGTTAATTAGCTTCAAGGCAAAATCTCATGTGGGCCACTTGAAACAGGTGATAACACAGGAATAGAAACTTTAATTTTATAGTGAGGAGGAAGGAGAATCATCTAATTCTTAAGACAATACACCAACACCGGACAACAAGGGCATAAACAAACCAAATCCAAAGTAAAATGGATTCTAAACTGATGATTCGGAAGGAGGCACACCCAAGAGTCAAAGAAATACTTAGTAATAACACACAAGTACTTTTTTTAATTTTGACATTAGCAGCAAAGATGTCGAGATTTAGCAATTTAGTAAATACAAAGAGAATAGATGGCGATGTAGAAAACGAACCAGATTTCAGTGACACAGAAAACAATCGTGGGCCAGTTGAATAAGGCAATCAAGAAGCAAATTACAACATTGAAGAACAAGCTTAAAGAATTTAATAAAAACTCTCCCTAAAAGCATAAGCTAATCCAAAGTTGGCAAAAGCGAAGTAATTAAGTCTGTAATCAATAGATAAACATCATCGATGCAAAATTTAAACACAAATTCAGACTAGGAATAAAATAAAAAGAACCCATAACTGAATCAAAATAATAAAATCGCCCAGCATCCTTTTCGTCATTTAATATTTGGCCAATACATCAATGAATAAGCATTCAAAAAACATTTGCTTCTCACATAGAGAGGGTTAATCTATGCTCGGAAGTGTTTAAAAGGACCATCTGATAAATTTATTGAATCCAAGAAAGTATATTTAAATGAAATCACTCCCAAAAAAGAGAAAACCTTAATTCTTGATTTGGATGAGACCCTTATACATTCTTGCACTCCTAGAGAAAACCCCTAAGTCTATGTTACAGCAATCGGAGACTTTGGAGAAGAAGCAAAAGTAAATCTTTTCATTAATTTAGATTGGTATTAATATACGTCCATATACTTCACTATTCCTATCTTCACTTTCTTAATTCTATACCATTTACATTTATACTGCATCCTCATAAGCTTACGCTTAAGCTATCATTGGCTATTTGGATCCGAAGAAACAATACATCTCTGGTGTCTTATCGAGAAATAATTGCATGGAAACTAAGAATGGGTTCTTTATCAAGGATCTGAGATTGATTGGCAATAAACAATTGAAAGATATGCTTATTATTGATAATTTGGCTCACTCTTTTGGATTTCAGATTGAGAATGGGATTCCGATAATGGAATGGCATAATGATCAAAATGATTAGGAGTTGAAGGCTCTCATTGATTATTTAAAGGAAGCAGTAAACTATCCAGATATACGAGAATACAATACAAATTATTTGAAATTGGATGAACTTATGGAATTTAATTTGGATGAATGATTATTAATTAATGTATTAATAAATTTTACCAGCTGCAGTCGGTACATTTCTCACATCAGTCTTTGGTATTTAATTTATTAAAGAAATGAGGACACTTTTGGTATTCAGAAAGTTGTTTTGGATAGTAATGGAAAGCAGGAAGTTAAATCAAATAACCCTATTAAAATGATAATTCAAATGGTTAGATAATTGAAATTTTGGCGCGTTTTGTTAAAAGCTATTGCTTTATCCTTTTTTATGTCTATCTCAACCTGAAAGTAAATGAATCAATGAGATATTTTAATTCTAGGATTACAGTTCGACATTCCAATTAATACTTATTATTGTTGGAGGCATCATTTTACCAAATGGTCTTTCAGCACTCGCTTGGGAAATGAAACACAAGGAATACATAATTATATAGGCGAGTGAACATGTGGCAAGTTTATTGATTCTGGCAATCTGTGCAGAAATTTCATAAAAATCAACTTGATTGGAAATTTTGAAAATGATCATCTATATATATATATATTTATTATATCAATTATTTGATGTTATCATTGAATATAATATATCTTTGTAGCCTCTCAATATTGGTAGAAGCCAATACTCATCTTTCCATTTAGCCTAATCACCCACTTCCCCATTTTCATCGTAAAGATCCTTCCACCACCATTCTGTATTCATTTTCATATTTCTTCTCAATTTATCCATTTCAACATCAAATTCATGAGCCAAACATTCTTTCATATCATGATTCTCTGCCTAACAATCAAATGCAGCCCAAAAAGAACCGTAATCCTTTTCACATTGAAGCAAATCATTCACAGCTTTATGACACTTTCGTCTAAATTAGCCACTCATTCTACCTAGCATATGCATATGACAATCCTCTTAATTCATCCTCTCTTTTTCCTCTTAAAATATTCAATTACCAATTCGATGGCATAGGTTGTCTTGTTTTTATCACGTAATCAGGTTCTGGATCTACTACTGGTAGTGTATTTATGTCCACTTTATGATTTTTTGATTTATAAGAACCCATAAATATAATTTAAAATTTTAAGACTAAGTTATTTATATACTCTTATATAGAAATCTTATTTTTTCTTTATTTAAAATTAGATGTCAAAATCACCAGCAATTTAATTTCAAGAGAACATGTAAACGCAATATTCGAATAAAGCAAAATGGGGAGTCCTCTTTGCATTTTGTTATCTAGCGTAATATTTTATAATAATTTTAGATTTTCAAATGTTCTTGGTTTTGTGAGCTATTCTCCTATTTCTAGTAATGCCGCCCTCTATTATTAAATATCACTTAATGATCTATTCTGGATTGGCAATATGTATTACATTACATTCTTTGTTTTTGGTCCACTTTTTATTCCATTATTAGAAAAAAGATTAGACCTGTGTTTGAAATTAGCCTCAATTCTAACAACACTAGGAACTTGGATTGTTTGGGTAGCCTAATCCAATTATGTTGTCTGTTTAATTGGCTACTTCTTTGTTGGAATCAGCGAAGCATTCTATTTAGGTGTGCCAGTTTGTATGTTTATAATAATTTATTTAAAAAGATTTATCAGAAGTCTGGTTTACTGCTTATGATAGAACATTGGCAACATGTTTCGGTAGTTATGCTACTTTAGCAGGTATCATGATTTCTTATACTTATTCATCCTTTTAATTCTTTGGAATTGAAGAGGAACAAGTGGTACATAATAAAATTAATAATTTGAATCTAATTATAGCCATTCTTAATTCACTCTCCATTCCAATTTGTTTCATTTTTATCAAATTTAAGAATTAGTTAGGAAAAACAACAGAAGTATCCTATTTTACTTATTTATAAGGATAATATCAACTTCCTGACATAATTTTTCAACATATTTAAGAAAGAGGAATTTTTTCTAGATCTCTTGGCATTTTCTATTTTTATTGGAATTTCATGGGTTTATATATCTGTAATTTCATTATAATTGTACATTTTTGGATTTACACAATTGGAGGTTGGAATAACTGGAATCTTTTTTACTGGATCAGGAATTTTGGCAGGCATTTGGTGTTCTTTTAAATTAGATTAAGAAGCGAAACAAGGTAAACAACCCAACTATGATATTTTCATAAAAATAACTACCTTGATTGGATTCTTTGCTCTTCTTTTTTAGGCTTTTACTATACAATACTTATCTCTTTGGGCATTGATTCTATTAAATATTTTCAACGGTATTGGGTTGAATGTGATTTACCCAGTAGCTATTGAAGCTTTTGTAGAAAAGTTATATCCAATAAAGTCTCTGATTGTGGCAACATGGGTATTTGGATTTGCAAATGTATTAGAATCTATATTTTAGTTACTTGGATTTGCTCTTAATTATCTTTTAATCTTACCAGTAATTATGAAATATGGTTTATGGCTCACTTTAGCAATTCTAACTCCATTTGAATTATATTTTATTCTTTTTTATAAATCAAGATATCGTAGATTCGAGTTATCTAATTGACAAATAATGACTAATATTTAATTTTAGAAAAATAACTAAAACATATATTAAATTTCAGATTAATCTATTTTATTCAAGAACAAAATGTCTAAAAGCAATCAAGTTGAAATATTTTATAACGAATAAGTTTCACCCTAAGAGTCCAAAAAGATGAAATGGTTCGTTTTATTTGCTTATATTTTCTTAGCGTAAACTTTTTGAATTTTCTCATAGATTTGCAAATGTGCTTGGTTTTGTAAGTTATTCGCCAGTTTGGTTAAATGCAGCAGTCTACTATGATATAGATGCTAACGATTTGTATTGGATAGGAAATATATATTATATAACATTTTTTGTATTCGGACCTCCCTTTATTCCTCTAATAGAGAAAAGACTTGATTTATGTTTATAAGTATCCTCAATATTGACAGCAGCCGGAGCTTGGATAATATGGGTAGGGAAACAAAGCTTTTTCATGTGTTTGGTTGGATATTTCTTTATTGGAGTTAGTGAAGCTTTATTTTTGGCAGTTCCTGTTTGTAATTATTAACCTTAGGTTATTGTAGATTTATCGGAAATTTGGTTTACTGCTTATGATCGCACTTTGGCCACTTGTCTAGGAAGCTATGCTACTCTCGCCGGAATCATGGCTTCCTACACATATTCATCTTTTTAGTTTTGGGATCTAATCGATTAAGAAGTTATCAATGTCAAAATTGAAGAAATGAACTTTATTATTGCAATTTTAAATACTATTTGTGTCCCATTTTGTTTTCTTTTCATAAGAAGGATAAGTCAAAGAACCAGAAGTGGAGAGGTACAAATTTAATTTAACAAATTATAGGAAAATGTAAAGTTTTTCTAATAGTTCTTTGACATTTTTAGAATCGAAGAATTCTCATTGGATCTTTTGGCTTTTGCCATGTTTATAGGAATTTCTTGGGTTTACATCTCTGTTATCGCTCTTCAATTATATCCTTTTGGTTATACCTAATTGGAGATAGGAATTACTGGCATATTTTTTACAGGGTCGGGGATTATCGCTGGAATATGGATTTCATTTAAGTTAGATTAGCAAGCAAGATAAGGGAAATAACCTGATTACGATACCATCATACGGTACACCACTCTGCTGGGTTTCATGGCTTTACTTCTGTAGGCTTTTCTTATCTCCTACTTACCCTTTTGGCTTTTGATTATATTGAACATCTTCAGTGGAATAGGGTTGAATGTTATTTATCCAATAGCCATTGAGGCATTCGTCGAGAAGCTATATCCATTAAAGTCTTTGATTGTAAGCACTTGGATTTTGGGAATAGCAAATGTACTATTCACTAATAGACTTAGGTCTTGGGCTTTGCTTTAAATTATATATTAGTATTGCCAACAATCCTACAATATGGAATTTGGTTATCTTTACTAATTCTTACTCCATTTTAACTATACTTTATATTGTTTTATAAATCTAAGTTTAGACGATTCGAATTATCAAATTGAATTTAATATATAAATTATAAACTATTAGATACATGATTTATAAACATCAATTAAATAATCTTCAAATGAGATCCGTATTCAAAGTATTACGTTACTACTATCATAGAATTTCTATAGGTTCTCGTATTATGCCAATATGGATTTGAGTTCTCCTCATGCATCCTTCTAGGTATTTCTAATTATAACCTCAAAATCAGGCTAGAGATTTAAAAATACTTCACACTCAGCACTATATTACAAAACCTCCTTGTGATCCAAAGATTATGACCTTTGGTGCCTTCCACACCGATCATCTATTAGAAATTGATTGGTCTGATAAAATGGGGTAAAGCAAATACTGACAATTAGTTGGTCGAGGCCTATGATAGTTCCATTCAAAAACCTAGAACTTCATCCATTTTCATCTTGTTTGCATTATGCAATCGAATGTTTTGAAGGCTCTAAAGTATTGATTATATATAACAATACTTTAAAAGGCTTACAAGGGCCCAGACAATACCATAAGAGTGTTTCGATTAGATTGCAATATGTTAAGAATGAAGCATTCAGCAAAGAGATTATCTCTACCAGATTTTGATGGACATGAATTATAAAAATGCATAGAAGCATTGATTAAAGTAGACTAAGATTGGATTCCAGATCATCCTGGGTTTAGCTGTTATATTCGACCCACTCTGATAGCTACAGAAGAGGCTTTGGGAGTGAGAGCTTCGAGTAAAGCTAAATTATTTGTTGTGCTTTGCCCAGTTGGACCCTATTTCCCATCAGGATTAAAGCCTGTTCGTGTCTTCTGTAATACAATTACTGTATGACATACTATTTTATGAAAGATACGATCTTACCCGGGAGGAGTTGGAGAATATAAAGTTGCTGGGAATTATGCTCCAACTGTGTTACCATTAAAAGAGGTCTAAAAGATTGGATTCCATTAAAATTTGTGGCTACTTCCAGATGGTTTGGTTTAGGAGATGGGTGTGTGTAATTTGTTTTTCTATTGGAAAAATAAATAAGGCGAAAATGAATTGATCACACCCATGTTAGATGGGACCATACTTCCAGGAGTTGTTAGAGACTCAATCCTCGTATTTATAATTACACTAATTTTAGAATTTGGCAAAATAATTGAATAAGTTTAAAGTTACAGAGAGAAAAGTCTACATTTAAGAAGTTGTGGAAGCTATAGCAGAAGGCAGAGTAAACCATAATATTATTTTTTTAGATGATTGAGATGTTTGGATGTGGAACAGGAGTTATGGTATAACCAATCGAGGCTATCGGTCTCAATGATAAAATCTATGAAATTAAGTATAATCCGAATCTGAATTCTGGGGAACTAACTCATCAATTATATTAACAATTAAATGAAATATAAACTGGTGGAAAACCCCACGAATGGATTAGCATAATTTGATTTTATTTATAAATTAATTAAATAATTCATCGTAATTCATCATAACCTGGGAGATCATTGTTTGGGGACTAACTAAGTCTGTTACTGATTGTTTCTTGCTGATTTACTTTCAAAAAATAGTTACCCTAAACCTTAAGCCTTTTACAAGGAAGTAGCTATTATGTATTTAGCAATTATACTATTTGGTCTCGAAAATGCAATCCCTATTTATGCTTTGTAAATTAAATCTTATAGGGATCTTTAGTTTTTGGGTCCCTTCCGCAGTCTTTAAGTATCACATTGCTCAGCTTAGAAATTAGAAATACTCAAATACTTATTAGATGATTAGTATCAGGTTTCCCATTCTTAAAAGCGAACTGATTTCTTTAGTCTTACTTCTATTTTGCGGAAAAAGGACATGGTATATCAATACTTGTTGTTGGAATCTTCCTTATTTCTAAATGATTAGCACTCAAAGTGGCGGTGATCGTTTAATCATTTAAACTGATACCTTTTTGCAATCCCTTAAATTGTTTAATTAATACTTAAACATCATATCCTCTTGTAGTTTCAGCTCCTGTTTTAGATCTATGATATTTTAATTTTTCAGCTTAAAGTTAATTAATTTTTTATGTTAAAGACTAAATTTCATTTTTGTATTTCTACATCTCTCCTTTCATCTAAACATTCTCTGCATTGAGATTTTTATTCAATTCATTCAAATTTGCTAATTCCTTATCTTTCAATTATGCTTTCTCACTAAAATTCATGTCCTTCTCTATTAGTTGAACTTTGAGTCAATTAAAAAGAAAATTTTACCTTTCAATAGCTAGTTCTCTTTTTAAAGTTATTGCAGCTAACTTTCAAAATTCTTGATTATATCTTTTGATTTTTCTTTATTACTTTATCTAGGGTCTAACAATTCATCACAAGAATATAAAGGATTCTAATCCTATTGCAATTCAATCGTCTTATTACAATCCACAATTGTTTAACAAACATGATATTGCTATCCAATAGATGCAAAATTTTAGTTGATTACATTCTCTAAAGAGACAGGATCCATTTCCATCATTGGGTTAGAAGCGCCATCACTTCTAGAAGAGGAATCTTCTTCTAAATATATTTCATCATCACATACTCTCATTATCTATTAAATGTTATAAGACTGCTGATTCATTTCCTTCATTATCTGATTCTAAAGGATTTTTTGGACAGTCATCTACATCTTGTCCTGAATTGGACTGATTATCACTAATATAGCCTTTTGCATTAAAATCATTTGAACTATCATTCAAAGGATTTGCTAAGAAAGAGCTTTACTTAGACATAAAATTTATGATAATAAATTAAATTGTAAAAATAAATGTATTAGCATATTCAAATTACTTTTAATAAAGAGTTAAATTTTGTATTAGTATCCAATCTCTCATTTTTATCTTCCAAAATTTATAACTATTTGCTAGTATTTATACTGTTTATCTTTTGATTCTCCTCTGGAATAGTAAACTAAAGATTTTCTTTATCCTTGACACTCCTATAGGTAGAAAGTGATTTTTAATGTTTTGAATTCCTTTTCACATCATTATTAGATTTCTATGGCTTCAATGTTAGCTTGCTCTATCTTGTCTACTGAGTGCATTAACTATAAAATTGATCAGAATCATTTGAATTGCGAGATTCATTGTATTCGCATAAATTGAATGTATACTGTTTTATACCCTTGCTTGAATGAATAGACTAGGCTCTCTTTTGAGATATTTTGGGTGAAACTATACATGATAACAAATATCATACATATTTCCTACTATTAAGATTGAGGGCGCATCTAATTTTCTGGAGTAACACTTATCATGATATTTTACTATCCTTTTTACTTTTTTTCCCATTCGGATTTGCTAGGTTTTCTCTTGGTTACATTTCCAGATATATTATTCAATATACTCTTTTCATAATCATCAATAGAATCGCTTAAGGCTTTGTTGATAGCACTCAATCCTCCACTAAAATGAATTACTACAATCAAACATACATATTATTAGATTAATTATTAGAAATTCTTGAAAAATCGTTATTCATAGTCTAATCCATCGAACTTGGTAATAGTTTAAAAGAAGCATTGCAACTTCTAGAGGTTTGGTTTTTAATTATCTGTTCCATTAAATTACAGTATTTCTTTTCATATTCATTTTTGACCTCTTGAGCTGCTTTGAAACTCATTTAGGATTTAGATCGTTCTTTACATAATTTCTTTTAGTAATCTTGTCTTAATTCATCAAAGAGTCTACATTATAATTAAATTTCATATTGTTGATTAGATATGATTTTTTTGCACTTATTCAATTCGTCTCTAAATTATAATTCAATTATATATACATTGCTTCTTTTAATTTATTTAACAACTCCTAATTATTATTACTTCTTTAAGATATCATTCCTTATTCCTGAATTTAAAATTTTAATTCATCTATACTGTATTATTTTTATTTCAATTCCCTCTATAAATTACTTGATTCAGCCTTATGATTTTATTAAACTAATTTATAATAAGCCATTACTTTATTCAATTTAAAATTCATAATTTTCAATTATCGTTTTATTGTTCTCAAGCTCCATCTATAAAAATTCATTCTCCTTCTCAAGATGATCAATCTTATCTTATAATATTCTCTTGGTTTACTCCTATACTTATTTAATTCGATTCACTTGTTCTTATTGATCTCTTATCCAGTATTCTTTTTCTCTTTGATGAATTGCCTATAATTGAGCAATTTAATCCTCCACTTATTTATTTTTTTATTCTTATTAAGTATTATTCTTTTGTTAAGCCAAGCATTTTTGTAAAATTTCATTCTCATATTGCAGCCCTTTACTTTCCTATTCAAATTGTTTGATTTGCTTCACCAAATCCTAAAGTTTGCGTTTTAACATATTATTCTAATATAAACATGAATATTAACTTCTTCCAATATTTCCGTATATGTAAATTCATTTGTTTTTTTTTTGTTTATGTCAAGTTGAGCCATTTTAGAAAATTAATTTTAAAAATATTACGTTAAATTATTTATATATAGACAAAAAAGAGCTGATTAAAACAAATATCATGAAGATTATAATTATTTAATCTACTTAATTAATTCTTCCTTTTCTGAAATATGCTTTTGAATTTCATTTTAATAGTGCAATAGCAGAGAATTAGTGCGAATAATAATTTGTTGCAACTAGGATATGATTTGTTTGTCCTTTTCCCTATTAGAAAGCAATTGCGTTGTTTCAGCTACTAATTTTCTTCTCAAGATTTCCTTATTTGCACTTCTCATTCGAGGTTTTACACTACTTGACATCGTTGAATTTTACGAGAGACCAACTTTATGAAAGAAGTTTTATTAGAGAGATCCTTATTGATTTGGAGTATAGGCGGCACTTGTGTCCTTGAGATATTGTTGAGAGAAGCTTTCTTGAATCAACATTTGCGATTACGATTTCTGTTGTATTAATTTATTGTAAGGACTAGTCTTTAATAATTGTTATAATCCATGCACTAATGTTGTAATATTTAAATTCGTACTTGACATTTGTTTATTCGATTTCTTTTAAGTAACATTATTGTTGCAAATTCCCCCATCCAACTAAGAACTTGTTAATCTTCGATGAAAATTTAATTATCTGTGCTTTTATGGCTCTGGACTTATTGTTTATTTTCTTAATTACTCTTTAACAAATGAAGGGATGTCTTGCTTACTTGAAATATTCATCATATAAAAATATTTGTAAAATATTGATATAAAAAATATATTTATTAACATAAAAAATCATAGTGCATCCATTCGTATTTCCCTAATGTATGCCTAGGTTTCTTATATCTGAACATTAAAATGTCAAAACAATGGAATTCCCTTCTTTCTTGTATAAATGTAATAATTCTCTTTTGTTTGCTACCAAAACTTTGAGCAATAACTCAATAACTTTAATTTACAAAATGCTTCAAAAATATTTTATTTGTTAATCACAATAGCACTTCGTTTGCTATCAGCCACACCATATTTGCCTGAATATATCATAAAATATTCATAAGTAATATCACAAATTAATATTTGCATCAAAATCGATATCATGAAGTATGTACCAAAACTCTCATTAATTTAATTACTCCATAATTATGTAGCTGTTATGAGCAAATAATTCTCAATCAAAAACTGTATTGCAAACAACAAAATAATGTGTGCTTTAATTCCCAAATAATACCTAAAAGTCTATAGAGTAATATCGCAATTAAATAAGTAACTATGAAAGAAATACTTGCTTTACTTTTCCTTTTTCCTATAGAGTTTAATAAGGTTTCTAGCAATTCTCAAAAACACGAGCACATAAATACTTGTCAATACGACCTTGCATAAAGAATGATTGTAAATCAGATAACATTCCATAGGAATTCGATAAATTACCTTCTAAGATGCCAAATATAAAGTCCCAAACACTAAAAATATCTATTGCATAACTATAGCAAATTTTGCGATTGATGAAAATTAGTATTTTGTTCCTCCTTTTTTTTTCCGAAAATTAAGTTATTACTTTGTAAATGGCACTGAAGATCCTTTGTTTATTTTTTCAATAATCTCATTCACGCTTTCAGAATCATTTATCATATTATTATTCAAAAATAATATTCAATCTTATAACAAATTTAGCATAATTTCTTTGTCAATATAAATTTATTCATTAATCACTCTCTAATGTCTTACTTAAGAAATGAATAAGAAAATCTTTATAACCAAATTATATATATATGATATATAAGCTATGGATTATTGTTTACATATGTACTTTTTAAAATAAAAAAAAATCAAAATCAACCTTATTTAACTGGTTTCACTTTTAAAATTTCACCAAATCCGATTGTCCTAAAATAATAAATTATTTTTAATACTTTCCATCATCTCTCAAAGCAAATCTACCTAATTAAGCTAGGGTTTCATATTTTTCCATACAAACAGGATTTTTAATCTAAAATAATAATATTTTTTACTGATATCTTAGCAATACCCTCATTGAATGACTTGAGGAAATTTTATTTTATTGATTTCTTAGTTTCAGCATCAATTACTGCCTCAACGCATGAAATTTCTATCTCCTCAACTGCAGAATGAAGATGCATAATGCATTAATAACCTTCTGAAAATATTCTTCTGCTCTCTGGTAAATCTAAGAGCCTAATTTTAGCTTAGAATTCCTAAGATACTAAGCATGGATTTGATGTTAAATTGCACATCATATATCCTCTCTTGATCTCTTCTTCTTCAATGTTCTTTACTTTAATTTTGATATTTTCTCCTGCTTTAGCATACTTCATTTTCTGGTCTTTCATATTATATAATTCAGTAATTTGGAATGGTTACTTCTTTGGATATATTGAAACATCCAATCCTTCAATAATCTTACCAGATTCCAACTTACCATAGATATATAAAGAACCCATATCCTTAAATTTATCTAAAATTGGCATTCTAATTGGCCCTTCTTCATTTCTCTTTGGAATTGAAACAGTATCAATTAAATCGATCAATGATGGGCCTTTGTACCAATTACATTTTGATTCATCTACCCTGCTTTTAATATTTGATCCCGATAAAGCATCAATAGGAATTACGTAAATATTATCAAATTTGCATTATTTAAGTACGAACTCCTAGATATTTTATGATATCAGATTGAATCTATCTTAGTTCCAATCGATTGTGTCCATCTTGGTGACAATAATAATAATATGATCAACACCTAAACTTTTAGCTAATAAGGCATGTTCTTAGGTTTGACCTCCTTTTTCAAAACCAGATTCAAATTCTCCTGTTTTTGCTGAAACGATTAAACCAGCTAAATCAGCTTAGCAGGCTCCCATAATCATATTAGGAACATAATTTTTATGTCCAGGAGCATCAGCAAGAATAAACCTCTTTTGTTTAGTAACAAATTAGGCTTTTCCACATTCAACAGTCTTTCCTTTTTATTTTTCTTCTTCATTTTGATCCATAACATAAGCTAGCCACCATGAATCTCTATTGTTTTAAACTGCTTCTTATTCATATTTTTTAATATCTGCTTCACTCACTTCACCTAATTCTAATAACAACCTTCCACAAAGGGTAGATTTACCAGCATCTACATGTCCAATAAATACTAAATTAACTGGCTGTCTTGTTTCATCAGGCTAAGTTTACAATTAATTCTTACATCTACATATTTCTGCAAATCCACTTCTCCTTCCAACTTCACGACTTGTTCCACAAGATTTACGGATTAAGCTGGTTTATCTTTAGCTCTTTCTTAAGCATCTTGACGTTCTATAATAATGAAAACTAATTTATACTTTTAATTGCTCTTTCAATTTCCTCTTGTTTCTTTTTTCTTTTAGCTTCTTCATCAGCTTCCTTCTTTTTCAATTATTCTGGCTTTGGATAATTTTTATACTCATCTTCACAACTTGGATTATATAAACTGATATATGTTGAATAGTTATTCCAAAATTTATCAAAATCTAAAAAGTCTGGATGTTTTGGGAAGTTTGGCATTTTTGGAGGATTTAAAGCAATTTCTAATGGTTTTGCATTTAAGTTTAACTTCTTTTTTGGACGAACTGCAGTTGTAGCTCCTTCTTTAGGTTATTCTTATTATGGTTGTTATTATTATTGTTATTATTATTATTTCTATTATTCCAATTGCTGTTGCTTCTTTTATTCCTCTAACTTTTGTTATTCAATCTTTTGTTGCTCTAATTTTTATTATTCTAATTTTTTTTATTGTTCTAATTCAGGATTCAGTGCTTATTACTCCAATTACTTCAGAAAAGATTCATACTCCTTTTCTTTTTTCTTAAAATCCAAGTAGCTTTGCATAAGTTATTTCTCTGACTCATTCATTTGATAAGCAGTATTGGTATTTAAAAACTCCTCCATCTCTTTTTAATATTTTGGTAAGTGCTTGGCATAATAGGCTGCTGTCTCACCTAAAAATCTTTAAAACAAAATTTGTTTATTAATATCAAATGACTCATAATCTTCATGAGTAATTCCTGGGTAAGGTCCCTTAGGAGGAGGGGGAGTAGGTGGTCCTCCTAAATAATAGTAGGCATATTCTTAATACATTTAAGGATCAAAGCCCATCTAACATTAAATATAATCTTACCATATTCATATTTGGATCATAGGGGTATTAGCCCATTTATTAGCCATACTGATAACTCATATTTGAAGAAATTATTTATTAACCTTTATTAAAAAAATTTATGTTTTTATTCAATTAAATAGAAACTTATGAATAAATCAAACATTCAATTCTAACAGAAATTTCTTTATTAAAATAATTCTATTTTGCTTATCCTCAACCCTTAAATTATGATCAAATTTTAGAAAAAATATATAATAATCATTCAAATCTTTATTCCTTTGGTGATCAATCTTTTTTTGAGATGTCCAATGACTTCATCCTTTGTTTTTATATATTGTTCTAAAAGTTGTTAATTATATTATTAGCTCTCAGTAACTTTTTCAAATTCATCTAAATCAAAGAACTTCTTATCACTGCTGAAAGGCATTTCACTTATTATTAATGATGCTAGACAACTGGCTTACAATACCAAATTTTCCTTTGTTTTTTGATTATCTGATTCACATTTGATTCTTAGATTTTATAAAGTCCGAAATATTTAAGTGTACAAATAAACAAAATAAATGTCTTTGATGTCTTATTGTAAGTCCATATTTAAAAATTTTTAGATCTTTGCTAATTCCTATAATAAATTTCGATCTATAAATTACTTTAGGTTCAAATTTTTAAGCTGTCTTTTAACATTATAGGTATAAGGATTCCAATTCTGATGCAACTATCTTGTTATCATTTGTTAATTTAGTTTCTAGATTTTTTATCTTATCTACTTAATTTACTTTCTCCATATCAAGGTCAAAAAAATTTACTTTCTCTTTTAATCCTTCCTCATATAATTTCCTAAAACTCACCATTCTTTTGAAACATAAAAATAATGGAACTATCCAAAAATTTTTTAAAGCCTAAAAATATTTTACATTCCCTCCAACCATTTTACCTATTATATCATACTTTCTTATTTATATTAAAATAATTACTTTAGTTAATTTTCATATATTTACGCAATTCTTCTGGCTTCATTTTCATCTAATTTTACCTTTATTTCTTAAATGTTCAATTGAGCAACTTCAATATCATTTAGATTTATTCTTTTGATTGATTTCGGAGAGTCTTCAATTTTTTATAATTTTTACACATTTTCATTTTATTGAATACTTTTTTACTTTTATTGGTTATCTTATAAATAATTATTTTGTTATAATTCAATTTTAAATTACTCCTTTGTTGCTTTATCAGTTTTTGGAGTTGGAGGCAACTTAAATGAGTTTTATTTCTTTATTTTTGGTTATTTATAATATTCATCAACAGATTCAACTGTAATACGTTAATCCTAATTAGGAGATTTAATGATTTAAGCTTCATTTTATGTTCTCTGTTATTAAGAGATGATTTCTTGATTATTTGTTTTCTATTTTTCTTAACAAAATGAAGGAATTTCATTTTTTTCTGACATTTGGAATTGATATTGTTTATTCTACTAGATTTGTTCAACATTATCAATATATTTTTCAATTTCAATATCTTTTTATTTATTATTCTTGATTAATACGACATTTTCCTAATTTTTGGATTTATTTTAATGTTATTCGAAAGAGGGCTGATAACTACAAACCTCATCATTATCTTCTTCTGCACTGTTTTTTTTTGATTTTTATTAAAAATTCTAAACTTCATCTTGGTATTATTATGCCATTATTGGATTTTGCTTTTTTATATGTGGGTTCTCGATAGGAGAATTTTGAAAAGAATACTGCATTTACCTTTGATCTCTAGGGGTTTTGAACATCTAACGATTATTCTATAAATTGTTGTTAATTATTAATCTCTATTAGTTTGCAGTACTACCATTTGATAACTCTATATTTTCTATACTATTAGTGCTGCTTTTTCTTATAGAATTTCTTCTTGATTGTGGTTTTCTGACTTATTTAATTTCTAAATTATCAAATAATGATTATGTATCTGAATAATTTATCGTTCTGTTGGCTGGATATTCTTAAGTAGATTTCTTATTTATTTAACCAGGTTGTTGCAGTTCTCTAGTAGATGTTCTAAGGAGTGTTTTGAGTTCTTATTTTTAATCTTAAGTCCTACTTGATTTAGGTCTAAGTTCATGATTGTTTTATTAGAATTACCCATCTTATTTCTCATTTAATGATTATCCTCTTTGAATCAAAGTGGGTGCATATGAAGATGCTTCATATTAGGACTAATTTGTTGTAATGGAAATTAATTTTCTTTATATTTATTTCTATTATTCTTGTATTGGTAAATATTAATCTCCTATTAACTGTTGTATTTAATTTTATTCATATTGAATTTCTTCTCTTGGAGTTGATCTGTTCCTATATTCAAATTAGTTTTCTAAAGGTTTGGTTATAGGTTGCTTTTAATTGTTGCTCAAATGTTATGCTTTCCTTGAAACTGATCTTGCTTATGGACTTGGCTATTATGTATTCTGTTCAATTTAAAAGAGTCTACAAGGATATCTATTTGTTGCACTAAATCCTGGACTCAATGATTATCTTATTTTTTAAAAGTGCTCTTTCTATTAATTGCCATAAGATATAATTCTAGTTTACATCATAGTGGAATTTCTTGATTATTATTTTTGGCTATGGTTATATGGAGAGGCTTTTCTAGATGAATTTTAATTTAAGGTAATAATTTCTTATGGGAACATACTCAATGTTTAAGTTTATTGTTTTGTATGAATTGAATTTTATCTAGTAATTTTACTATTTCGATCACTCTAATTTTCTTAGAGAGATTAATCGATTTCGTTCAATCCAAAGGAGATGCTGATAAAATCTCTAATTTCTTCCCATTTTATCTTTCCTGCCAACAGAGTATTTATTAAATTTTTTCCTTTTAATTTTGCTTTGAATTATGTCAAACTGTTAAAGAGTTCACCTAATTTCACTTACCAAGGCTTTTTGGGTAATTATTTTTACAAACATGCAAAACCAAAATCTATCAATGTCAATTTATCTTGGCTCCTGAATATTCTCATTAATGCAAAATCTCGATCTTTTATTTTTCCTTCTAAGTATTCTTAATAATAATAATCATAAAGTGTGTAAATCTGTAAAAATGTTCTATAATATAATATCAGTACTGATATACTTTGGATGATCAACGTCCTAATTTAATATTTAACCCTGTAGACAATTGGCTAAGATGAAATAATAATGGGTTTCTGTTTGATGTATTTCAATTATTGAAGGAAATTCAATTAACTCTGAATCCAGAGTTTCAGATTCAGGTATTTGAAATGGAAAATCTGTAGGAATTATTTTTGGCTTCTAACAATATTTGAATAACATTTTAAGTTCTTCTTGGAAATGTTTGTTAAACAATTCAACCTTCAATAATGGTTACTAAAATATTATTTGACTAATTACACGATTCAATTATATTATGATGAATTTATCCTCTTAATCACTACCCCTATAAATTATGCATTCATTATTTTTTTCAACCAAATGATCTAATTTAAATTTTCCAATTTGCATAGTAACTATCTATTTTATATAAATATTATATAAACTTTTTCAGATATTATATATTTTCTCAAATAGCTTGTTCAAAAATAAACAAAGCTGAATTGATTTACAGTCTTCTTCTATAGTAGTTTAATTTTACTTGTAAATCTTGATGATAAAAAATGACATCTCATTTTTTAAGTTTGTTATCATAATTGCAAGATTGTCTAGACTCCATTCAATCTTAAAAGGAGAATTTAGGAATAAACAGGAAATAATGAGAAAAGTAAAGACATTTATAATTTAACATGTAATATAAATCCTGTCAATCTGTCAATGAATGATCTAAAAATAATATTCTCCTATCATCTAAACCAACTAAATATGATTTTACTCTAAGTTAATAAATAGAATAGATTATATTTATTAGTTTTATTTAACAAGTTAATTATAATTGAACAAAGAAATCACCAGAATATTATTTTTCCAGAAATTTCTAGAGAATTATAAATTTCTAGATTCTTCTATCTTTTGATTTAAAACTTGTTGAAGAACGAGAGTAGTCATTTAATTTACCAAACAAAATACAGTCTTATAAAATAATGTCAAAATCAAATGATACAGCAATTGGAATTGATTTAGGAACTACATATTCATGTGTAGGTGTTTTTATTAACGATAAAGTTGAAATTATAGCAAATGACCAAGGAAACAGAACCACTCCCTCCTATGTTGCCTTCTCTGATAACGAAAGACTTATTGGAGATGCTGCAAAGAACTAAGTCGCTAGAAACCCATAAAATACAGTGTTTGATGCTAAAAGGCTTATTGGAAGAAAATTCAACGATCCAACTGTTTAAAAGGATATAAAATTGTGGCCATTTAAAGTAGAAGCTGGCTCTGATGATAAACCATTGATTGTAGTTAAGTTCAAAGGAGAAACAAAAAAATTCCATCCAGAAGAAATCTCTTCTATGGTTTTAACAAAGATGAAAGAGATTGCTGAAACCTACCTTGGAAAATAAGTTTAAAATGCTGTCATTACTGTACCAGCCTATTTTAATGATTCACAAAGATAAGCTACAAAAGATGCTGGTTAAATTTCTGGTTTAAAGGTTTTAAGAATCATAAATGAACCAACAGCTGCATCTATTGCTTATGGATTAGACTCAAAATAAAAAGGAGAAAAAAATGTTTTAATTTTTGATCTTGGAGGTGGCACCTTTGATGTTAGCCTGTTAACAATAGATGATGGAATATTTGAAGTTAAGGCTACATCTGGTGACACACATTTGGGTGGAGAAGACTTTGATAATAGATTGGTTGAATACTGTTGTCTAGAGTTTTAAAAGAAAAAAGGAATTGATTTGAGATAAAACGCAAGGGCTTTAAGAAGATTAAGAACTTAATGTGAAAGAGCTAAAAGAATTCTATCATCCGCTAACCAAACCTCTATAGAAATTGATGCTTTGGCTGATAATGAAGACTTTAATTGTTAAATTACAAGAGCCAAATTTGAAGAATTATGTTTGGATCAATTTAAGAAATGCATTCCTCCAGTGGAGCAGGTTCTTAAAGATAGTGGAATGTCCAAAAGTTAAATAAATGAAGTTGTTTTAGTCGGTGGCTCTACCAGAATACCTAAAGTCTAGGAATTATTAAAAGATTTCTTTAATGGAAAGGAACTTAATAAATCAATAAATCCAGATGAAGCAGTGGCTTATGGGGCAGCAGTCTAAGCAGCTATACTAACAGGAACTGGTTCATAAAAATGCGAGAATATAGTATTGTTGGATGTTACCCCTCTATCTTTAGGAATCGAAACTGCTGGCGGTGTTATGAGTGTATTAATACCAAGAAATACTACTATTCCAACTAAGAAGAGCTAGATTTGTACAACCTATGCAGACAATCAACAAGGAGTTCTGATTCAAGTTTATGAAGGAGAGAGATAAATGACAAAGGATTGTCATAAATTAGGATAATTCTAGTTAGATGGAATTGCTCCTGCTCCAAGAGGAGTTCCTTAAATTGAAGTCACATTCGATATAGATGAAAATGGTATTATGAACATATCTGCTGAGGACAAGGCAACAAAGAAGTAGAATAAAATTACAATTACTAATGATAAAGGAAGATTGTCTAAATAAGATATTGATAGACTAGTAAGCGAAGCTGAAAAGTTTAAAGCAGATGATGAAAAGATTAGATAAAGAATTGAAGCAAAAAATTCATTAGAATCAACGACTTACCATGTAAAAAATACGATGAATGAGGAGCAATTCAAGGATAAATTCACTGTTGATGAAAAAAGATAATTAACAGATTTAATTGAATCAACCTAAAAGTGGATTGATTCTCATTAAAATGAAGAAGCTGATGTATATAAAGAAAAGTTGAAGGAGATTGAATCAAAGTTCCATCCAATTATGTAAAGAATATATGCTTAATCAGGGGCAGCTGCTGGAGCTGGACCTTAAATGCCAAACATGAATAGAGGAAATGATTTTCAACATAATCCTACTATTGACCAAGTAGACTGAACAAATCATAATTGATTAATTTAATCATATATATATTTCTTAATAATATTAAATTGTAATATCTTATTATCATTAAGTTTTTATTTGGCATATAGTTTAGCACAAAAATTGCACTTATTCTTCAATTGTTAATTGTTAAAAGTAATCTTGCTTAACATTTTATTCAAAGCAATCATATATTTTATTTAAACAAAACTTAAATTTTTCTTTATTCTTGTTGTTCTTTTATTTCAATTTCTCATATTTATCTTAAATTATTTTCAGTTTTTATTATAGATCAGTTTAATCATTTTGAACTGGACTAATTTTTTCTATTTTTCGACATTTCTGAAATTCAAAATTTTGAAGCTTTATAATTCCATCTATACATTTATTCATTAAAGAATCCAAACTCTGTTTTAACTAAGATGTATCTTCATTTATCTATAATTTATAACTGATTTAGGTGAAAAAGTCTTAATACTCCTTATTTTGTATTGTTAATTATTAATTCTCTTTGCTGAGATGCTCAATTATAATTGATGCTTTTCTTAATTATTATTAAGCATATTCAGTTTATTCTTAAAGCTTATCAATTTCACTGATTCTCTCTTGAAAATTTAATTAAATATGATTTAAAGGTAAAATATGAAGCTTCATTTTTTCAAACATTCTGAACATAGATCCTATTATTTCTTGCATCTATTTATAAGCTCTCATTATAAATTAATTATCTGGATGCTCTCCACAACAATAATTTTACATATTACTCAATAATTAAAGTAAATTGCTTAAAAGAGTCTTTTGCTTATCATAATTTTGACAATTTGCTTAAAAATTTTATTTCAACTCCTGCTCTACTACTTAATCAATGTGTTTAAATATTCTCATGTCTTTATTGACTACATTTATAAGTAAAGCTTTATAAAATTCTTAAAAGCAATTCTCTTATTCCTAAACTTCATCAGGAATTAAGTAATCAAATGTAGTTTAATCTTAAATTAAATCTTAAGTGTAGGAGTTAATTAAATTATTTCTTTGCTTTTATATTTAAATTTATTTTGCTGTTAAGCTTTACCTTGGAGTAGAGGATTTTTTCTATGATAGCATCTCATTGCTTCTTCCTTGATTAATCCCTTTTAATTCGTCTAGGCTTAACTAATTATTAATATAATAATACATCTAAACTCCTATTTTTAATATCAGTAAAGGAATGGAGATAAATGTCGCTTTTAGACAAATCCACAAATTTAAATTGTAAATAATTAGATTTTTTCAGCAATTCTCTAAGTTTATTATTTTCTTAATCTAGTTAATAAATTTTTTTAATTAAGTCTTCATAATGTTCATCAGCATATTTAGAGGTTTCGCTTTTTATTACTTTTGAGCCTATGCTTTGTGATTTTTTGTTAGCAATTTAAATAAATAAATTTTCTTTATTAGCTGCTTATCGAAAACTTGGTGTTCTATTCATGTTTGCTGTTAATTTTATAAAATTAAATATATCAAATTATTGCTATGAACACATAATTTTTATTATGTGTGTTATATTTATTGCTTTAGTGGGTCTGTATGCGATTTGATAATGTTCTAGGAATTAAAGTACAATTAATTTGGGGAAATAAGCTCAAAAACTTGATGCGTCATCGTAAAAATATTTATATAATAATTTATGAAATAATACAAAGTTATCTATTTACGAATGGTTTTTATTTTTATCAAATTTTATTTAAAAATGACAATTTTAGAATTAAATATATATTAAAGGATTAATATCTTATTTAATTGGGTTTAAATGTGGATTTCATAATAGTCAATCTGAATAATAAAACAATGATAAAAATTGTTCAGGTTTGCAGAGGAATGAGGTTAGTTTCCTAATAATACTTCTAATACTCCAAGTCTGTTTAATTAAAGTCAAGTGAAACAATTGGAGAAGGACTCTATACTCAATAGCTCTTTACAGGGTGTTTAGCAGAGTACGCTTATTATATAGAATCAAATAAGGAGGCCATCATCATAGATCCCTTAAGAGATATTCAACCCTATATGTAATTTTAATATATTATTTTAATAGAGACCTTGCAAAAGAGAGAGGAGCAACAATTAAATATGTTCTATTAACTCACTTCCATGCTGATTTTGTAGCTGGTCATGTGAGTCTAAAAAATTAAACAGGAGCTTAAGTGATAATGGGACCTAATGCAGAAGCTCCTTTCATCAATAAAACAATGAAAGATGGAGAAATGCTACATTTTGGATAAATAAAGATTCAGGCCCTTCATACACCAGGTCATACATAAGAGTCCACATGCTTTTTGTTGCATGATAGAACTGGTAAAAAACATAGGTATCAATATTTGACAAAAATATAGTTTATTCACTGGAGATACTTTATTCTTGGGAGAGGTAGGCAGACCTGATTTGGCAGTAAAGACTGATTTGAGTCAATATGATTTGGCGATTATGTTATTCAAATCTTTAAGAGAGAAACTAATGCCATTGCCAGATGATGTATTTGTGTATCCTGGGCATGGTTAAGGTTCAGCCTGTGGAAAGAATATTTCATCAGGTTATTATTGCACTATGGGGAATTAAAAGAAGAATAATTATGCGCTTTAGCCTATGGATTACGAGACATTTGTTACGGAAGTAGTGAGGGATTTACCTAAACCTCCTCAATATTTCTTTTATAACGCTGGGTTGAATAAGAATACTTTTACTTCAGATTTAAATGAGATTCTAAAGAAGTCAAATAAAAAATTATCACCACAAGATGCAAAATTAACAAAGACAGCTTAAATTATTGATTCTAGAAATTCAATTGCTGAAGGATTTATTCCAGGATCTATCAATGTTCCATTACAAATTCCTTTTGCTCATTGGGTTGGAACTTTATTGCCTCATAATAAAGAAGTTATTATAGTATGTGAAAAAGGTACAGAGGAACAAACTATTATGAGATTATCAAGAATAGGTTATGATAATATATTAGGATACATGTATTTTGAAGAATGGTAATAGGCTGGAGAAATAATAACCAAACCAACTGAATTAGAAAAACAGGCTTTATTGAATATCTCGCAATAGGGTTCAGAATAGATTATTGATGTTAGATCTTTTGAAGAGTGGAGAAAGGGTAAATTAGACACTGCTAAATTTTTTCCTCTTAACGAACTATTGAGTAATATGGAAAGACTAAATAAAAATTAGTAAATTAATATTTATTGTGGAACAGGATAAAGAGCAAAAATTGCATGTACTTTATTGATAGCTAATGGATTTAAAAATGTATAATATTGTAAAGTTGGGTATGATGAGATTATAAAACCATGAATTATTAATATGTATGTTTTTAATAAGTCATTTAATTTAAAATAATTCCACCTTAGAAACTTATATTAACTGATCTAATGAAAACTTCAAAAATCTAAATTAAATTTTAAATTATAATTGTTGGAAAAAGACCTAGAAAATAAAAATTAAGAAAAAACTAGAAAAATTTCAGAATCTCTATTAAAAGTTGACAACAGTATTAAAACCTTAATAAATATCATATTGAAATTAAATGAAGTAAGGGCTTTATTGTCTCACAAATCAAAATAGTTAAAATATAAAATTTTTCTGATAGAACATTAATGTTATAAACCCATATCTTGGAGAGTTATTCAATTAATAAAAACATAAAAAAATGCAAGTCATATTTTAAACAAGGATTGCTTTTGAAATTTTACTAAATACATCTATTTATGAAAAATCATACTATTTGCATTTGAACATTATGAATAAATAAATTGCTGAGTAAGTTCCACTCTTAATACTAGGGTTGATGCTAATCAGCTGATTCCCTCCATTGAGTCAGCTTATATTGGTCTCTAATTTAAAGTAAATATTTGCCTAAAATTACTTCATCGATCATAACATCAACTATTTATTGAAGGTGCTATTCGATGAATGTTATGTACCAGAAACAGAAGATGTCAGAATTGGTGTACTTTTGAGAAGAGTGAAAAAATAAGATGTGATATTTGAATTGATGTAAGTCAAATTGAACTAAAATCAAAGTTGGGCATAGATGAAAAACATTAACCTGATAAATAGTGGGCAGTTAATGTTTTAAAATCAATCAACCCTGATTCAGATATATTTAAGAAATATAGCCCTTAAAAATTTGAGATGAAACAATTCACTTCGGAGTAGATGGAGTAGATTAATTATATAAACTAGGAAAATCAAATCTCTTGATATAACTTAAGGCAAAAAAAGAAGTGTTAGAAGATTTTTTCGCATTCCAAAGGATAAAGAAAATGACATAAAATTAGAGAAATAGCTTTAGTTAAAAAAGAGTTGAGAAAAAATTCTTCTATTGCTCTTCTTAGCTGTTAGGAGTTAAAGCTAGTTTAAATGAATGAATTTTATCTTCATTTTAAATCTTGAAGGATTATAATGGGAAATCATTTTCCTGTTGCTGATAGTGTAACATTATGTGTTAAACAAATCATATTACAATATTTTGATTTTTAACCTAGATTACTGATAGAAATCTTGCCTTCAGTTACTCTATCTTTTGATAGTCTATGTTTACTTAATTAATCTTAAATATTATTAAATACATAAGAGACAAAATTCCATCTAATATTGAGTGATTCTAACCTTTTAACTTTATTTGAATTAGCAAAAGGATGATACTCACTCTTATTCTTATGAAATTCCTAAGTTTTTCCTTAAGAATGTTATTCATTAATTAAAAACAACCATCTATTTGACTTCTAATAAATATTAAATTGCATTTGCAATAGTACTTCAACTTTCTTAATTATTCTATTCTATTTCATTAAATATGGAAATATAATTTCAATGTTTAAGTAATTTCTCTTAAATAGAATTTTTTATGCAAAGACATAATTTCCTGAATAATAAATTATCTTTGCAGCTGTTCATTAATTAAGATTCATTTATAACTTAAATATTAAATATACAACGAATTATTGTCAAACGCAAATAATATAAAGTTTAGCAATTTATACCTAACATAACATATAATCTTATAAAAAATTGTTCAAACTTACAAATAAATGTTCATTTATATCTAGATGTTTTTAAGCAACATATCCTCCTTCAAAAGCTAGTAAAGCAATAACTCCTATTCCCCTACTCCCTAAGCTATAGCAAATGCACATCCTGCTGCTACCCTTCCATAAGTGGATACAGCAAACTTCCAGCAACTGTTCCAATCGAAGAGAAACCATAAATTGCCAATCTAGACTTAGTTAAAACACTGCCTTTACCTGTTACCATTCCGCCTAAATAAGTTCCCGACTTAACATTTTGCCATAAGCCATATTTCTTTGCTTACTCCTATTAGTTCATTATATGATTAATATATTACTATTATTATAATAATCAATAAAATGAGTTTAACTGGGCAAGTTTGTTCAACAATAATTCAGTTTGGTTTCAGAATTGAACATAATATGAAAGAGATCAATATTATCTATTAAATTTTCAAAAAGCCTTTAATTCAAACTGAAAATAATACGAAAATATGAATATTTTTGTTTGTAGATCACTAAAAGATATAGAGATTAATTCACTATTCTCAAAGTCATTTTTATTGTAATTTATTAATACATCATTGTAACAGATATATTCTATTTTAATAATGAAACTTTATGATGATTAAGAAATATCAAAATTCTGGTATGGTGTACTCTGGTTTTTTGAATAATCTATTGGCAATTAATAAAAAACTAAGGGCATTGTATTAATACACTAAATTAATTTTAACGTGTTGAATATTACAGAGCCTTTTCTTTTTGAAACTAGTAATTTGGTAATGAATGAAAAAGAATATTTTAAGGGTAAGACTCATTTAATCCTATAATATTCTATTACTCTTGAAAAAGAAAAAGTCAATCGATTTAAAATTATAATTGAAGTATTCATCAATTTTTTAAATTATTTCTTATTTTTGAAATCCAAAATTATTAATAATATTAGAGTATAATTGTTAACTGTACGTCGTATTAATCATGATAGTGATAAATTAAAAATTATCAAATAGCCAGCAATTTCTTTCTACTAAGTAATTTGATTTGTAATTATAATAAAATTCCCTTAACCATAATAGCGGGAATAATTTTAAAAAAAATGTTGTTTAGGGTATATATGGGGATTTGATTAAAATTGGTAAAGTTGTTTATATATTTTGTAAACATTCTAAAAAGACTAGTATGTCAAAATTAAGCCAAAAATAATGTGAAGTTGATTTGTGGTAAAAATAAATAATAAGAAACTCTATTTCTTTAATAGACCAACATTGAATGATGAATTGTTATATTCACAAATAAATTGAATTTTATATATCATCTAAATCATCAATGATTATTTTATAGTAAAAAGAGATTAAAGAAACCAATCAGTTTCTTAAATATGTTTAATCAAACTAATGATAATGAACTACTTTTCTTAAGATTGAATGAACCCTGTATAATGTTATTTCTTTTGTAAAAATAGAAGTTTATTCTAAACTATAAATAAATATGATAAATCACTTCTTGGTTTTAAATAATCTAAGAGATTGCTGAATATTATAATAATGTTTTTTTGTGATTAAGACAAACAAAAATGTATCGCTGAATGTTAAATACCATTTTGTATAATCTACTATTACTTTGTAATGTTTGAATACTCCTATTGAAACGTTACCTTAAAGATGAATTAAAAAATATAAATGCCAATAAATTTAAATTATCATGATGTTTTTTAATTCTTCTTCTGAAAATCAGGTAAAGATTATTGATGGGCTGAAAAATTGCAAAAAAAAATAGTTTTACTTTACCTTTGATTTTGCTGCTTAATAAAAATAAGAATATTATTATTTAAAGAGAGAGGGTCACTTTCTTTGCTACATCTTTCACAGTTTACAATCTCATTCTGCTAAAAAGGTTAAATATGTCCCCTATTGTTATAATTATTCCTTTCATATTCCTTCAAGCTTTGACCAATAAGTTCATATCATAGAATCCTGTGAGATTTAAACTTTCTATAAAAATGTTATTAGCTTCCAACTTCTTATTAAAATTAAAATGGTTTTGGGATTAAAATAATCTGATAATCCCAAGTTGAGCGAGGATTATCATTAATGTATCATACATGCATATCAAATAATAATTTTTCAATAATAAGTCAATCAAGTTATTCATTTAGGGAAATATTCATAACATTCACTATGTTATGCTATAAGTGTAAGACTTTAAATCTTTATTTTCAATTGTATTAAAGTTAAAGAGAATTTTAATATATAAAACAGCCTTAAAGAAAAAAAAATTTTGCTGATTAATTTATGGCAAAACTAAAAGTTAAATTTTAATTTTTAGTACATCTCCTTATATTGTAATTTGATTGATTTGAAGGATATTCTTCTTCGGAAATCTTCACTAGTTACAATCATAAAATTCTGGATTATAACTGATAGACATAGGAGTAAATTTAAATACCTGGGGATATGAATCGCCATAAAAAGAAGCTTGAATTTCGCTTGCAAATAACCAAAAGAATGTCTATTTAGAAATAAACTTAATTATCACTTGTTAGATAAATATCTTGAGAGTTTAACTAAGATATAGATTCTCGAGGTATTACCAATTATAAGAGTTTTAATTTAGGCAAATGGTTTATAAATAAATCAACTATTCCAGAATGATCAAAAGAAATCATTAAGGAGAGAGTTTTGAGTGAGAGTTTTCCCAAGAAATCATCATTTAACTCATCTTAGGGTTAAGATTTGATTCAAGAAGAAAGGATATTTTAGAAAAATATATGGTTATATATATCTTTCAAGGTTGATATAATAAAGTATTATTAAAGATCTATGTATGTATGAACGTTCAAACTACGTTTTTAAAAAATTAAAGTGATTAACTTTTCTGATCATTCAATTAGAAATTGGATAGCAATAATATAAATACACTTTTTAGAAAAATCTCAAATGACACCCCTTCAAATCTATCTTTGAAATCTGCCATTTTTAGCTCTTTTGACTCACACCTAATCATTCCATGTGGCCGACTATAGTACGATCACCAGTTAAGAAAGTTGCTTTCTGAGACAGCAATGACCATTCCTGTCTTAAATTAGACTAATTATTTTCTTTGATACTAGTCTAAGTATTTCGTTACGGGAATTGATAGATAACTAACAAATACATTTATTATGTAATGGAGAATATATTATATATTCAGAGGAAAATCATAATATTTGGAAAAACAAAATGAATTATCAAAAGCTCAATCATAAATTGAAGCGTTATTATGATATTGATTAATCTTGTTAGTGTCATGATATTGCTAAAAATATTGTATATTTTATTCTATATTACTAAAAAATCAATCTATGCACAAGTTTATGGGAGTACTTAGTGTTACAATTTACATCAACTCAAAGTTTACTTTTCTTCCCAACAAAATTTAAAAGATGCTTTTTCAGTTTATAACTTATACAAAGCAGCTTAAATTAAATATTAATTTTAAGTTGATGTAGTGCGCTTTTCATATAGGTACTGAAGTATCTATAATATGCATTGATCCTCACAATTGTGAACGTTAAAGGAAATTGTGTGTTGATTGCATCTATGAACATGGAGTAGATATTAAAAAAAACACAGTCACGGCAAAAAAATTTCAAGAATTGATTAGGTAGAGATTTAAAGAATCTGAGGATAATGAATTATCTAACTTATCAACCCAAAGAATGAATTTCAAGTCTCTGCTTTCTTCAAGTCAAATTCTATTAAAATAAATTTGTGATGAGATAGAGGTATCCTATAAACAGATAGATGATATGATGACAGGGTTGGAAGATATATCATTTTTAAATATCGCTAACAAAAATGTAAATCCATTAGAATTGTCAAACACCGAGTTAGAAAAATTGTTCTAAATTTTTTTAGGAAAAACCTTATATAAATAGAACGATTCTAAAAAGTTATATTTGAAGAATTTGCATGAAAAAAATAAGTGTTGTTATAAGGAAATTAGCTCTTTTTGTGAAAAGTTCAATATAGAAATGAAACGGATTCTGTCATTAATATAAATGACAAATAATTATTAAGGAAAAATTCAATCTATTACAGAAATAGTGAACAGAAATGCAGATTTGTATTAAGTATTGACTTATACAAAGAATATTGATAGATCTTTCCTTAATAAGATAATCATATTGATTAAAAATAACAAAATTACAAATTTTTTAGAATTTATTTCTGAATAAAATATAGATAAAAGTTAGTAGAAAATTATATCTAAAATTATATAAAATATTAGCGAAACTGACTTTTATAAGAAGAATTATTCTACAGAAGTTTACGAATAAATAAGAAATGACTTGATTAAACAAATATCATAAGATGATAAAGAGATAATTGAATTTTTGAAATTCTTAATTCAACTTACTGCCATAGATGAGAAATATATCTAATGTGGATCCAATTCACTCAATTTATTAGTCGAAATGAAGGCAGATTTGAAAGAACAATGCTTTAAGAATATCAGAATTAGAGATACTTCTTTGATTGGAGGAAATTTTGCAAGATGCAATTTCGATGGATCTAATTTTGATAATGTCAATGTTAATGGGATGAATTTAAATGGAGCATAATTGATCAATTGTAAATGGAAAAACATCAAAATACATGAGTTAAATAAATTAAATGGTCATTCAAATTCTGTTAGATCAATTTGTTTCTCTCCAGATTGTATGACTTTATCATCTGGTAGTGATGATAATTCTATCCGTTTATGGAATGTTAAGTCAGGATAATAAAAAGTGAAATTAGATGGTCATACTTGTGGTGTGAACTCAGTCTGTTTTTCTCCTAATGGTACTAAATTAGCATCGGGTAGCATTGATAAGTCTATTCGTTTATGGGATGTAAAGAGAGGATTATAAACAGCCAAATTAGATGGCCATTCAAATTCAGTTCAATCTGTCTGTTTCTCTTCTGATGGTGCTACATTAGCATCAGGTAGTATTGATAAATCAATTCGTTTATGGGATTTAAAGACAGGATTATAAGCAGCCAGATTAGATGGTCATACTAATGGTGTGAATTCAGTGTGTTTCTCTCCTAATGGTACTAATTTAGCATCAGGCAGTGGAGAATCTAATGGTAACGATAACTCAGTCCGTTTATGGGATATTAGAAAAAAAGTATAAATAGCTAAATTCGATGGTCATTCTAGTAAAGTTAATTCAGTCTGTTTCTCTCATGATGGATCAAAAATAGCATCTGGTAGTTATGATAGCTCTATTTGTTTATGGGATGTAGAGACTAGGTCATTAAAAGCCAAATTAGATGGTCATAGCAATGGGGTTAATTCAGTCTGTTTCTCTCCTAATAGTACTTAATTAGCTTCTGGTAGTTCTGATAAGTCTATTCGTTTATGGGATGTTAAAACAGGATAATAATTAGCCAAATTCAATAGTCATAATAGTATGGTTTGTTAAATCTGTTTCTCTCCTGAGGATAATACATTAGCATCAAGTGGTTAAGATAAATTTATAGGCTTATGGAATGTCGAAGCAATAGAATATAAAAACAAATTTGAGGGGTTGGGGTTGGGGTTGGGGTTGGGGTTTAGGGTTGGGGTTGGGTTTGGGTTTGGGTTGGGG